AATGAATTCATTTTCCATCAGGGCAAATTTGTTTTTCGTACCTGAATTTTGTTCTCGCCATTGGGTGCATTTATTTTTGACCACAGGCAAATTTACTTTCCGAAAAGAGTGTACAGCCTTTTCAGAAAGTAAAGTCGCATTTTTGCAGTTTTATAGTACAATTTGTACGAAAAAGCGACAAATCAGCCGACATCTCTTTCTGGAAAGAGTGCATTGTTTGATAAAAATAGAAATATCAATCTCTCTGGATCCTATACTCTGGTTGCTCATGTCTAAGTCAGAGCGCAGTCGCTGTATACGCTGGAAATTAGGCTGGCTTCCTGGTGGCAAACCTCGACCATGTCCCAAGCACCCAACGCAACAGCTATCTAAGAATCACGCTATTAGTTGTCTTGATATGCATCGATGTCTGTTCACGCCTGAAACTATATGAGATCTATTGTCATTCCTTCTGAATACGCTTCCTCTACGTCCTTCGGTTCCCCAAAACCTAACCCTCATCTGGTCTCAACGATAGCCGATTATATGCTCCCTACTACATGAATTAGATCAGCTACACCATAACAAATTGATCTTCATTAAGCATTCCCATGGCCAAAAGTTTCTTGTGTGGTTAAAGCAATTCATTTACTTTTTCATCGATAACCCTACCCATTAATTTCCGTTTACATTTTTTACCCTTGTACCCATAAGGGGTATTTTCGCTACCATTCACTTCCAAACGGATTGAACGGGTCCGGGCGGACGTTTATCTTATTATTTTATTTTTGCGCTCATTTGGACCATCAATAAAATATCATGTTTAAACAAAAATAGAAACAACTTTCATACCCCGTAGGCTTTATTTTTCCTTTTTTCCTGGTTTCTTTTTTATTTTCAAATGGAGGCAGTAGCAGATTTCCCTGAAGGATTCTTCTTTATACGATGCAAGGCAAAATCATTTGCTTTGGACGTAGCCAACGGTAGCATGATTGTAAGGCTCACCTTTTGCTTACAATAATGTATTAACATATGCTTAAAAAAACTCTTAAGAATGACACGCCTATTATTATATGGCCACAGGTAAAAAAATAAAAAAAAGGATGTTGCTATAGTTACTTATAAGCTCTTTTGCAGAAAATGGTGGATAGTATTAATCAGGTACTTTTGTCATAGCAACTATAGTTCACTCAACCTTAAATTGAATAGCTGTGGATGCATGAAGACGGCTTTTTAATAAATAAGAAGTCAGGACTTGGTAGGTCTATGGTGTGCTCTCTGAGAAATAATAAAAGCTAAATAATATTTATAGTACTTGATATTAGAGGAGGTAAGCATTATACCTGATAAAAGAGAAGAGGGAACTTATATCATCAAAGGTATTGAGCGTGATAAACTTATCATTCAATATGCCCGTAAGCCTGGGCTTGCGCATAATCAAAGATGGAAGTATCAGGATGGGTATATCTTTCCTAGTGCGGCTCCTCATCTCGTGATAGATATTAAAGTAAAGCATGCACTAGACAGTATAAAGATGTTAAACAACTCAAATAGGGCGGAGAGTATAAGAATGGCAATAACATATTCCTAAATACCAAGAACCCACATTCACCTACCCAGCAATTCATTATACAGCCATTTGAAAATGAAAAGTCTAGACAAGAATTAGCTTTGTTAAGACCATCTCCTCGTAAGTTGAAAGTTAACTGGATGAAAAAAGATAAGCTTACTCTCCTTTTGTGTGTGTACATCGTTTAGTTCAAAGAAACTCATTATTCCCAAGACAAGAGGAACTGTATGATTGCTACAGAATGGTATACCTAGAAAATAAACAAGTTGCATCAGAACAGCTGGCAGGTGCTGCAACGTTCAAGGTAAATACCTAACAGAGACTAGAAGCAGCCATCTCAATCATTTATGAAAACAAAGGCAATGAAAGATTATATCACAAGCATAAAGAATAAGGGTGAGCCTATTGTCGCTAATGATGATACAAGGAGAGCCCTTTGTGAAATTGTAAAGCAGGAGGTAAATCAGAGGAAGCAAAAGGCTACGACTATATTTTAATGATTATATACAAATGAAAAAGGTACACCACACATTAACTCAAGCCCAGATACATAATCAAGAGCTGGTATCATCTGCTTCCATGGTAGCTGAATCGTATTTCAGTCGAGAATATAGCGTATAATTCTTGTTTAAATAAATAAATTCTAAATAGCTGCTTTCCTTAACTCTATTTCCCAGTCCTCCATGCCTTCATACTCTTTCTCGTCTATATGCTTCCTTTCTTCAGATGGCTTGTCTTCTTTTTTGTCATGTGTCAACAATTTATCTCCTTGGTGATCCTTTTCATTTTCAGAGTCTTCACAGCTAGAATTATTATCATCATTATCTTGAAAACTAAACAACACAGTTTCACCATGATCCTTCTCTTCTTCTGGAGGCTGGCTTAGAATCTCTTGCTTGATGAGAGTAACTCTATAAAAATAGTTTCTCCAGAACGTTTCTTCGTTGACACTAAATTAACGCGTAAGCAAATCTTCATCACTTGTGTTGTATGATCCTTACTGCTGTGGTACAAGCGAGAATCGCATACGTGATAACTCTTGATCTTCTTGTAAAGCAGCATGAGCTGTCAGACTGTAGGCATTAAAATCAAATTGGACATTTGTTTCATCAGGGGGAGGAACCAGAAAGTTCCTTTTTTCCTACTTTAAATAAGATTTACTGTTTATCAATTTATTATTATTCGTAATACCTTGGGTATTTCCATAATAGCTGCCTTCATTTGCCTTTCGTATCCTTTGTATCCAACCCATGGAGCAACAGGTACTACAATTATGTATTGAGTATAATATTACACAGCTTGTAAAGGTATTACCTGCCCCTTTAGCTTGGCTTGACACAACGTTCTCTTGCTTTTGCTTATTCAGCAAAAACGATGTCCTCTCAGTCTCGAATTCCTGTTGGAGGCTACCTAATCGTTTTGGTAATTCCTTGGCCTGTTGCTGTAATTTATTGAGCTGCTTATTTAAATCCGGTAAACTCTTCGTTTGAAGTGTTTGAGAAAAAGACGTCAAGCCTGAACTCACTGTCGACAGGACGGCTCGACTGAAGAAACTGCTTTTATTTTCTATTTTGAACTTAATATGAATATATAAAACACCCTCCTTCGTATACCTTTTTCAGTCATGGAAGTAGAGATGAAGCAAAAAGGAAAAAGAAAGAAATATTAATCTATTGTCACTCCGCTTTTGTCAGGTACCTGCATGAAGCAGTTAAATTGATTGTGATTTCTATTAAATATGATAACAAATTAAAGCAATTACAAGTTCTTAGTATCAATGCCTGCTTCTTGTAGCAGCTTCTTTAGTTTTCCAGATGTATAAGCAGATTCAAGGTCGCTGTAACCACCAACGTGTTGTTGATTAATAAAGACGTTGGGTACAGTGCTCTGTTTGGTTAACTCTTTCAAACATTCTTGAATATCCACACCATCAGGACGTTCATTTAATTCTATCGCCTTGTAGCCTACATTGATATCGTCAAACAAGTCCTTGGCTCGAATAGAATAGCCACAATAAGTTTTACTGAAAATCTAAATAATAATAATAATAATAACAATAACATTAACCTAGTCTCATTCTCGACATAAAGGTAACCTTACTGTCACTTTATTATCAGCAATAGCTTTCTTTACAAATTCTTTTACTCCATTGGCAATGGCAGACATTGTGAATAAAATGACCAACAAAAAAAAAGAGAAATGTGCTTTTGACTTGAAAGAGGATAAGCACGCCATTCGCCGTCACGCTATGCTCTAATGAACTTGATAAAAGCCTGCTTAATAAGCAGACCATTTATCATTGATGTGTTCCAACTTGTTATTCATTTCACCATATTCACTAATAATTGACTTATACCGGATAGTCTTGCAGAATGAAACATCTTGTACGGAAAAGGAAGAAGAGTAACAATTTCCTTTTATTCTGTTTACAGATATCACGCTCGTGTGGAAAATAAGAAAAATTCTGGAAACACTATGCACACACCCATAGCAAGCAGAGTCTCAATCTCGGCGGACAGTCCCGTCCGAATGATGTCTAAAGTTGAAACGGCTGCTGATTTTTGATTTGATGCATGATGAAAAAGGGATGCATGTGTAGTAGGGGGTTTACATATGTTTGACACTTTAGTGAAGGGTATTTTCTTGATGATTTACACCACATTTCGATCCCTGCTGCGAAATGGAATAAGGGATACATATGGTACTTTCTTGCCATTTTTGGAAATCTCTTTGGGCAGTTTATTTTCTCATTGAAATGCCCAAAGCTATGCTCTGTTTGCATTTGCGACATGGTATGACTCAAAGTGATATGGTGTAACGCTATCTATGATATCGAAGAGTTGGAGTAGAAAAAAAAGGGGGTAAAGTAGGAGCTGTTCTAGAATAGAAAGTTACCCAATCCCGGATCAGTTTTTTACGTAAAAATTAGTCCATTTTTATGTAAAAAGAAGAGTTACAAGAAAAGTTTTAGCGGCGAGCCAATCAATATAAAAACCGCAGAACGTAGCCTTTTTTCTTCTTTCTACCCTTACTGAACTATCCCTTTTTTTTATTAATTACAATGAAAAGGGATGAAGTGCCCCTGCAAGCTTGGCACGTTGAAACAACTGATGATGTTGCCAAACATTTAGATACAGATTTAGACAATGGTTTAACATCAGAAGAAGCTTCAAAGAGACACACGATTTATGGATACAATGAACTCTCGGCAGATGGTGGACCTAAATGGATCAAGGTCCTGATGGGTCAATTCATGGATGCAATGAACTGGATCTTTATTGCACTTGCCATTGTTTGTTATGTCTTGGGCGATTATATCACTGGATCATTGCTTTTGTTTATTGCTGTATTGAATATCTACCTGGGATTCTCACAAGAGTATGCTGCCGAACAGACATTGGCTGCTTTGCGCAACCTGTCCTCACCGATGACAAATGTTATACGTGACGGCGTGGAAAAATCCATTGCAAGTCGTGAGATTGTGCCCGGTGACATTCTTCTCGTTAAAGAAGGTGATTCTGTTGGTGCTGATGCTCGTCTTGTATATATTTCCAACTTGGAAGTCGATGAAGCCCTGTTGACAGGTGAATCAGTGCCTGTTTCTAAGCAATTGGTTGTGCTAGAAAAACAAGGTAATTAAACACATCCTTTCTTTTTTAATCGCTAATTTGTTTTGATGATCAACAGATGAACCTCTTGGCGATCGAGTCAACATGATCTATTCTTCTACAATTGTTTCCAAAGGTCGAGGCAAGGCAATTGTGACCGCTACGGGCATGCATACAGAAATCGGTAAGGTTGCAAAAAAGTTGAATGACTCAGGCGACAACGATAGAACACGTCTTCAGAAAAGTTTGGATAAAATGTACCTCATGCTACTTGCAGCTGCAATCATCTGTGTTATCGTCGTTTTGGCATCCGTAAAATTTAAAGCAGATTACGATACTGGAATGTATGCGATGACAGCTGCCCTTTCTGTCCTACCAGCTGGATTAACCACCGTGATGACAGTAACCCTAGTGCTCGGAGGAAAAGAGATGACACGGCAAAAGGCGATTGTTCGAAAATTAAAGTGTTTAGAAACCTTGGGTTCGGTCACCAACATTTTCTCTGACAAGACTGGAACACTGACGATGGCAAAAATGGTCGTCGTACGCTTCTGGACTCCATTAGAAGGCTTTTTTTATGTGACGCCTAATGGTTTGGCTCCTGTCGGCGATGTATACCAAACATTCGAAGAACTTCCTGACAAAATCGGCGACGACAAGAATGCGGTCCGTGTCGATAGAGATTCACTCTCATCTGAAACATTGCAGCTCGTAAGATGTGCAGCACTTTGCAACGTGTCCAGTATCTACCGCCGAGAACAAGATGATGAAAGTGAAAAAACAACGGATGAGAGCGCCGATTCAGATGATTGGATCGCAAGCGGCGCACCTACCGAAGTGGCTCTTCAAGTCTTTGCTCACAAGTTTGGTATGGGAAAACCTGATTTGAGCAGCAATGGCTGGGAACTCCTTGCAGAATATCAGTTTGACTCAACTATCAAGCGCATGTCAACGGTGTGTGTTGACAGAAACAGTGGCGTAGTCTATGTATTTACCAAAGGAGCAGCCGAACGTGTGATCGAACTATGTTCTAACGTACCAATCGAAGTGGACAAGTCACGTATCTTGGACACAGTCTATACTTTAGCTACAAAGGGTCTTCGAGTAATGGCCATGGCATACCGCAAGCTGGATATTCCTTCCGATATTACTGCTGAAGAATTACAAAAGATGCACCGTGAAGATGTGGAGCGTGACCTTGTCTTTGTTGGGTTAACTGGTATTTATGATCCACCTCGTGACGAATCACGCCAGGCTGTTCGAGAAGCGCATCAAGCTGGTATCTCTGTTCATATGTTGACTGGTGATCATGAAGCTACTGCAACTGCTATTGCCAAAGAAATTGATATCCTGAACCAAAAAATGAGCCCCGAAGCAATCAAGTCTTTAGTAATGACTGGTACTGCGTTTGACGCTCTGTCTGATGAAGAGATCGATGCACTTCCCAAGCTACCTCTTGTCGTCGCACGTTGCTCTCCTGAAACCAAGGTCAAAATGATCCAAGCGTCTGCGCGTCGCAACAACATCTCTGCCATGACAGGTGATGGTGTCAATGACTCTCCCTCGCTTCGTATTGCGGATGTAGGCATTGCCATGGGCAAGAACGGTAGTGACGTAGCGAAGCAAGCCTCTGATATAATTTTGACCGACGATAACTTTGCAACCATCATTCGTGCTATTGCTGAAGGCCGTCGCATCTATCAAAATATGCAACGTTTCCTCCTCTACTATTGGATTTGTTTACTTGGTATGGCTCTTGTCGTCCTTGTGTGCTTGGCTGTTCGAGATCCTGCTGGTAGAAGTGCTGCGCCTTTGTCTACTCTTCAAATGATATTTATGTATGTTTCCATCACTCCACCAGCCGGTTTACTCAGTATACTGCCTCCATCCAAGACAGTCATGCAGGAGCCTCCACGTCCACCAACTGAAAGCATATTCAATCGAGAAATTATTATCGATACATTCGTTTACTCTATTGGTTTCTGTATTGTCTGTATGATTGCTTACTTTGTCCCTCTTTACGTTGTCGGCAACGGTATTGGTGGAGTGAATTGTGATTCAAATTATGTAGCAGGCGCCTGCGATTCATTTTTCAGAGCACGTGCTTCACTCTTGGTAACTGTGACATTTGTAAGTATGGTAGTTATGGTCCACTGTCGAAGTTATCGTGAACCCCAATGGAATCTGGCCGGCGTCAAGGAAACATTCAAGTCTCGTACGATCATTGGCACATTCTTTTTCAACATCATCTGTCTTTGTATTTTTATGTACGTTCCTAAAGTGGCTATCGAGGGCTTCCGTATGCTTGGAACTACTTGGGAATGGGGTCTGGACGTTGGCTTGGTCTTGGCCATGATTATCTATGGTGAAGTCTTTAAATTACTGAAGCGCAAGCTCATGAAACCTTTGGAAAACACTCTGGTAGAAGACGAGTAAAATCATACGCGAACCATCTTAGACCGTTGTGATACATTATCACTAAAACAGTAACATAGCTCTCAATGTACAGACATATAATAGACTTTAGTACGAGTACTATCAACCTATATTTTGTTAATTTATTTTCTTTATACAAACATTATTAATAAAATTAATCAACTTGACACACTACTTTTCTATACTTTTATCGTTACTTTTCATATTCGATAAATACTTGTACAAGATAATAATCATATTCAGAAGCATTTGAAGAAGTGTCAAGCATGTTTACTTTCAAAAGACCATTACTACTTTCAAAAGTCCAATGGCTGCTTGCACTCACTTCAAAGCCGTCTATTAATACCCGCTTTATGCACAAGGAAGCTTGTCTATTTTCAGTTTGACTTCCTGTCTTCTCATGGCATGTTGCTATCCAAAAACCACAGGACTGACTCTTGTGAGAAAGATAAGCTTCAAATTTTGCGTTCAAGCAGTCTAAAGATGTGCTTGTTATTGGTATAAGTCTCGTTTTTAAAATTGCTCGAGTGCCATTCATTTTGTCGATTAGACCAAGACATGCGACAGATATGGAACCAATTGAGTGAGTGCAGCAAATAGTGATCAAGGATGATTCAAATCCATTTATTGAGATGAGCATTACTTCTTCAGCGTGATTGTCCCTGCCGGTACGGCGCAAGTTAGGAAACAAAGGCATGAGCTTTCCTCGGTTGCGTCCAGTAACTACATATGCAACAGAAAGTCGTTTTGAGAGTATAGGAAGATTAAATATGGAGCCTTTCACTACGCCTAACCTTTCGCAAGATGTCGTATTCCAAAACCCACAGACACCATATCCTAACCTTCCAGTATCATCCAGCTCTTCAATGTTAACATTGTACATGCTTAAAAGTGCCCCATTACCCATAGGATCTCCGAATACAGTATCAAAGGTAGGTATTGATGGTTGACATGACCTGAGCAAGGTCGGTCCCTTGCTTTTGCTGATAGCTACTAAAGCCTCGATCAACGGCAAAGAATGTTTTCCTAGATTATCTGTGATATATACAGGCCCTCCAGAAATAGCACGACTTGATATAGGTAAGAAACATACCAAAGAGCGTATTCATTAGACTTACCTCGATGCATGATATTCACCAAATGCATGATCTGACTGGAACATGTCCCAGTCTGGTATAACCGGATAACATCTTATCCAGAGCGCATTGATTGTATTAGCATAGATGTGCCATGGATGACTATCAGTTGCATCTGGAAAGAAATCGTCACTACTCCTGTTGAACTAAAGTTAGGCATCATATGGCAGTTTGACTGTATTAAAGTAAACCTGAATGTGCATTTTGTCCTGCATGAAAGTACAGGATTAAATAGTATGTAAGGTGTTAATGACATGCAGTGAATTACTCTTCCTTTAAGTTGCTCATCTGATGCTTCCACGACTGCTTTTCTATACTTGTTCCATAAATGCATACAGTGATGCGGTAGATTAAGGAAGCCTCCTTGATTATCTACTTTAACAAAATCGACATCTGATGCATTCAAAAACTTGTAAAAATCATCATAAAAAAGGTTAGGATGCTTTACGAGACCAATCGAGGTTCCTTGATTGTTTGTTACATCTATTGGACCATACCCTTGGCTGGCTGCAAAAGACGTACAGATGCCATTCCAGTAACCACAAAGGGTATGCCAAACACCAACATGGCTCAAAAAAGGGTTCTCCTTTTTAATAGCTGCTACAACCTCCTTTAGAGTGAGATTTGGAAACCTTGTAGGATGGACATCAAAAGTAGCCATACATGATTTACTGGATGTATGTTGCCACCCATCATCAATTATTAGATATCTTACTGGTAGCTTGTTGGACCTTATGTCACTGAGTAACCGTAGTAGCTTTTCAAATGTTATGGATGTTCCAAGGGCATTCCAGGTACAGTAACCAAGTGTATCGGACAAGATCCCATTTTGAGCACTCTGGGCTATGTTTTTGACTGTATCCGATATCTTTGCAATATGCTTATAGTAATAGTCTAAAGCGTAGGTAATAATTAGTGCATATTTTAATGGATCAGATGCTTCTAAAACAAGAACATGCACGTGGTGTTCTTGGATTTGAGCATCACTGTCTGATATAACTTGATAATGAATGTTGATATTGTTATTGGCGCCATAAGAAAACCAACAGTCAAGCGAAGAGCTGCAAGCCATCCAGAGATGCAGGCTTCCTGCTTCGCTATCCTGATAAAGAAGTAACTGATGTTTGTCAAGAGAGCAAATGAGACAATCCTTGCCGGAGACAGGCGTAAGCCATGTTACTCTAAATTGATTAAAAAATAAAGACCTTGCATTGCATATATTTGTACTAGGCATTACCCCTTTCGTAAATACGAAACGTAACTATACATAGGCCTTACTCTACCAAGATGCATTTCACCATGTTTTTCCCGAATTAGAGCTGAAAAATGGTCTAAATGAAATCCTCGAGAGGTTTCGTTTGCCACCCAATCAAGGTGAGGCGAGCACTTGGTTGACAAATGACCTTTTGCTAACCTGATATTACCATTCTGTCCTGGTTTACCATACCATGACCATTGGTCATCGGCCTGGTTCTTGAATCTTAACGTAAATTCGTAGTTATCTGGAGGAAGATCATATGTATGGATCATTAACTGGTATCCTTCTTTTTGGTTCTTGAAACTAAAAGAAGTCCACTCCTTCGAGCGTGTCAAATTTGACCATAGCTCGATACAATCATACTCTGTTGCAATACAGTAAAAAATAATAGGCTGCTTATGTTGAATAATAGTACTGTATCCTATGTCTGGTGAAAGTAGAACCATCTGAAAAAGAACAAACGGGTCTCTTTGGAGACACCACAAAAAATCCTTAGGGGGCACCACATCCCGATTCTTCGGAATCTGAATAATAGTGATTATTCCCATCTTAAATATTAATATCTTTGCATATATATAACCATGAGTAATCGTTCCTGAGAAATGATATAGGCATATTTTAGATACTTAAAAGCAATTTTCTTATGGGGCATCACATTCACTTATTCAAGCTGATGTCCAAGCATTACCTATCAAATATGGTAGTGGTATCCCATAAGCCTTCATGCAAATATAAACCCTGAACTTCGATCTAAGGAATAAGTACGTATTTGCTTTAATCTATATCAACTATTTGTTCCTCATTTGGAGGAAGATTTTTTATCTGTCTTCTTTTTGGGAATTGACCCCAGTGATTCCAGTACTTTCTGCAGTGTATCTTTTTCTCTTTTTTACTTCGGTACTCTAGATTTTTAAAACCTTACTATCAATGTAAACATAATCAGAGCGTTTCAGTAAATCATTCATCTTTTGGATCAAAGCAACTTTTTCCTTTATTTAATTTAAAGACCTCCTTGATTGAGTACAACAAGACTAGTATCACTTACAGTTACGTGATCTTTATCCTTTTCCTCTATCGTTCTTTCATAAACTATCATTCTCTGAGGTATTTAGATCTAGTGATCACAATACAATCGATTAACTCATAAAGCTTATTAAAATAGCATGTGTGCAACTGGGTCGTTAAATAAAAATCCCTTTAATCGTATAAAATTACAGAACAGTAACACATAGATTTGTGCGCGTGCTTGATAAAAGATCGCGACAAGGAAATCGTCATGATGAAAAAGGAAAATTGAGAACTTTCAAGACGAACACAGTAGGGTCATACAGCCTTCAGATCGAATTTCCAGAATAGGATAATTAAGTTAGACTCGGCAAGTTTTTAGACAGTGTAAAGCGGTTGCACCCGAGATTGCCAAGAATGAACAATTCTGCTCTTTAACACACTTTTACCAAACATGGCTTTAACAGACAACAATGGTATGTATTGGGATTGTAAAAACGTGGATTATCAATTAGTATAAATAGAGATAGTGGGATAAATGCCAGTAAAAAAAGGCATCCCATTTTTATCATGGCTCTTGTCATTGTAGTTTGGTAGGACGGAGATGTCTTAAAGGCATGGTCTAGGATTGCATTATTCAACTTTTCCATTGTATTGGAATTGTCACTTCATAAGGCAGCTTAAATTAAACATATTACAAGATCTGATAAAGCTACTTTGCTTCATTAAGGGGTATTTCTGCTTATTTTAACTTGGCAATCAGTTACACACAGATTGTCGATACAATGCTATTAACACGATATTACTACTAGTACGGGGAATATCGGTAATAACCATAAGACTCTTTCTTACATGATTAGTTGAAAGTTAACAAAAGCGTTAAAGGTCTTTGATGAACCGTAAAATCAATTGAGCCATTTCTGAGGTAACTACAAATGTTTCTATAGTGATTAATTAGCAGAATGTGTTAGATGACCAGAAGTAGTATTAACTCTAGAAATAACCGGGAAATGTTGATAATTTCCGCACCACAGGTGAGATTAGAAAAAAAATGTTACTCTACATTTTCATTGGAACTTTCCAAACGTGTAACAGATCTTGATCTGATAACTTATGGATACCTACAGCTGGTTTGTGTAACTTGATATTTATCTGATTTTTTTTAAAATCATCTTTGTCATCTTCTTTTCTTTGTGGTAGTCTTTAATTTCAAAGCTTATTAAGCCATGAAGGTCAAAATCCCTTTCATCACAACGGCAGCTGCGCCAGTCATTGAAAACGAAGAAGACAACAAGAGTCGTGTAACTTACAACTCCATTGAAGACAGCAAAAAGGGTAGTCAAAATGATGGCGATGTCGATAGTTCAGATTTCCAGTACGGTGTGAAAGCTGTTCAAGCATCTAGCCAAGTTTGGACGAAGAACCAGTTGATTCTGGCCTATATTCTGTAAGTAAATCAAATGGTGTGTGTGTGTGTGTGTGTGATAAAGCCTTTTTGTAACGCTTCCTAGTATTTGGATCATTCACTTCGTACTGGCACTATCTTCTGGAATCAATGCCACATTGACACCTTATGTCACAAGTGCGTTTCAAAGCCATTCTTTGACAGCTACGACGACAATTATTTCCAGCATGATATCAGGCCTTATCGTCTTGCCTTATGCAAAGCTCATTAATGTATGGGGCCGGCCCCAAGGTTTTGCTCTTATGGTATTTTCAATGACTATTGGTCTTATCATGATGGCTGGATGCAACAACGTCAAAACGTACTGTGCTGCTCAGGTATTCTATCAAGTCGGCTCCTCTGGACTCAGCTTCATAATGACTATTTTCATTGCTGATACAACCTCTCTCAAAAATCGAGCATTCATGATTGCATTTGAAGCATCGCCATGGATTGCTACCGTATGGGCTTATGGGCCAGCAGCCCAAAGTATTTTGAACACGATTGGCTTCAGATGGGGTTTCGGTATCTGGGCTATTGTCATCCCAATAGTGTGTACTCCACTCTTTGGATTGTTTTATTATAATCTTTTAAAAGCTCGTAAAGCTGGCCTTATTCCTCAAAGAGAGAGTAATAGGACATGGACAGAATCGATTGTATATTATACCAAAGAGTTTGACGTGGTTGGATTGCTTTTGATCTGTACTGGTCTTGCGCTATTTTTGCTGTCATTCAGCTTGTATTCCTATCAGCCCGAACAATGGAAGTCTCCTTTGATCATCTGCTTCCTCATCTTTGGTGGTTTGCTGATTATTGCATTTGCAGCTTATGAAAAATGGTGTGCATCGGTCACATTCATTCCTTGGAATCTAATGATGGATCGAACAGTCTTTTCAACTTACACTATGGCAGCTAGTATATATGTCGCTTGGTACTTGTGGGACAGTTATTTCTATTCCTATTTGATTGTTGTCTACAACTTGAGTATTTCTCAAGCCACATATATCACAAATATTTATACTATTGGGTCCACCGTTTGGTCTCTTGTGATGGGCGTCATTATTCGATACAATGGACGACTAAAGTGGCAAGCTCTTTACTTTGGCGTACCGGTCACGATATTGGGAGTTGGTCTAATGATTCATTTCCGACAGCCAGACGTCAATATCGGTTTTATCATCATGTGTCAGATATTTATTGCCTTTGGTGGCGGTACCTTGGTTATCTGTGAGCAAATGACAGTCATGGCTGTATCATCTCATCAATATGTCCCAGCTGTCCTGTCCATGGAAAATATGGTTGCCAGTATCGGAAGCTCGATTGGTTCGACGATTGCAGCAGCCATGTGGAGTGGTATATTCCCTGAGAAACTTGCACTGCACCTACCTGCAAGCGCTCAAGGTGATATAGCATCGATCTATGGTTCTATAGAAATCCAGACATCTTATCCAGTCGGAAGTGACGAAAGAAATGCTATCAACCGAGCCTATAGCGATACACAAAAATTAATGCTAATTTCTGCCACCTGTCTCTATTCGATTACTTTAATTTCAGTCATGTTTTGGAAAGATGTTGATGTCAGACAACTGAAGAAAGTAAAAGGCCTAGTGTTTTAGATAATATTATAACATATTTTTATTGTTTAATGTATTGCTTAAACTCATATTCTTTATTTCGTTCGATCAATGAAAATACATACGCTTTTAAATGCTCTATTAAAGCACAATGAGCTGTACATTTACCTCATCTTGTCTCACACGACTCTGTAGAAACAATAGTGACAGAAACCATAATTTATAAAGGTGAAGGGGCAAATAAAAATAGAATTTTTTTCTGGCAAAATGTTAAATAAAAACTCAGGTCGCTTATTTCCTAAAATGAGTGCTAATCATTTCTGGAAAGTGTAACCATGGTATCCATGGAAATAGATATACCCCCCTCTCTTTCAGTCAAAAAGTGTAAGTCAGATCAAAATATTATTTACTCTGCAAGGGGGGGGGGGGAGAGTAGAGGCTTACACCCTTGCTTACTTCAAAAAAAAAAAACTTTATAAAGATAGGTTACATTTTAACTGCATGTGAGCCTTTCCTCGTTTTAATGCTGTTTATGACATCATTTCTTTCGTCGTCAAGAAGAATAATAAGAATAGATTTATAATACGCTTATACACCCATTTAATAAGCATGTAGTCAGCCACCTTCTACTTTCTTGCGTCATTGATCTATTTATTCGAGAAACTCTGTATTATTAAAAAAAAAAAAAAAGAGCAAACAGCTACGCGCTTTCCAAATTATATTGCAGAATTTATTTTTGTCTCTTGCTCTTTCTCTTTTTCTATTAACAAAAAAAAAAAGAAACACTTAAAACAAAGAGAGAAAAAAAAAGTCGCCTTTTTTTCTTTTTCTTTTTCTTTTTTTTTTTTTCTTCTTTTATATATTTTTTTGCAGGGTGCATGGCAAGAGATGCAAGTTTGAATGACAACAAGGATAGTCCATCAGATACAATAGTACCATGTCTTAATAGAGTATTATCCTACTTGAATCGATCAGAACTTGTGCAGACGTCATTGGTGTGTAAAAGCTGGCATCTGATATCAGCGTCAAGACTCTGGTCAAGCTTTAAATTTGTCAGAGAACGAGACTTTGAACGAATATTTAATATACTGTCTAGAAGAAATACAGCCACTCGGTATGGGGAGTTTATTACATCATTAGAACTTGTACACTCGGATAAAGAATTTCATATCAATTCAAATACAATATACTTAATTACCGCTTTATGCCCGAATCTGTTGTCAATCAGCATTAAATTTCATCTTACACGTCCTGTTGCACCTCCTGTAATTAATCATTTACCAAAAAAGAACCCATTTCCACAAGCACAACCTAGAGTACGACCACCTTTACCTTTTTCTCGACCTAATCAATCAATAGATTCTAATAGTAACAACAACAACAACAATCAACCACCTGTATCAATACCCCCAAGGCATACACAGTCATTACCACTAGCTCACTTTGCTTATAACTGTCTAAAACTTAAATCGATCCATCTTGATTCTTATTCACCCAAGACAGATGATTCCGTTTATGAAATGGCTAAATATATGACCTCTGGTAGTTTAGAATCCATCAAATTCAACAACTGTTCAAGTATCCAAAGTTCAACCCTCTGTAAATTAGCAATTACCAACCCTCAGCTGCGGTACATCGAAATCATGGGCAGTACACCCGTGACAGATTCGAGTATAGCAACCATAGCAGACCGGTGTGGTAATTCACTCGAATATCTTTCGATTGGTAATGCTTATCAACTGACAGATAAATCAATGCAGTATATTGCTTCAAGATGTAAACAAATTCGACATATTTGTATATTTAACAACCATACAGAAAAAATTTCTGAAGATACCCTCACAGCCATCATTACTCATTGTTCAACATTACAAACAATCAGTCTAAGTGATTCAAGATGCCTAGGATCCAACTTTTTCAAATCAGTTGTTCAACGTGTAAATATAGAAATCGAAAATATAAATCAGCATCGTGCAAAGATCGAATCAGGGTTACAAAGACTATGTCTAGGTGGAGTGAAAAGAGATATCATTCAAAGTAATTATATCGAACAGCTAGTCGATACAAGTGCAAGCAAACATGATTTACAAGATCAAGATGAAACAATGACTGATGACTCTATTATACCTAATGACACTACTCCTAATAATTACCATCTCCAATCAAAATTCTTACCAAAAAGTACCATCATTCGTGGAAATACTATATGGTGGCAAAGGCGTCGTTTACTATTACCTACTTGAAAAAAAAAAATGGCCAAGTAATTTTTAATAAAAAAAAACGCTTTATAGAATGTCATCTTTTTAAACGGTGAAGTTGGAAGGGTTAGTGCCTTCTTCTCTTTGAGAATCCCACTTGGAGATCTATATAATATATTAATATCATTTACACTTAAATAATATATATACATTACCCATTCATTAGGACATAAAGCGTGATAGGCCTTGTAGAATTGCTTGCAAGGTTCAAAGTCTTCACCACGAGCGTTGACACACTTGAAGTAATCAACATAGTTTTGCCAGCAGCTATTATATAAAAATCAATATATTGCTTCCAAAACTTATAAAAACACGTACTTTTTTGTTTGGTTAGTGTTGGGGAAACTGTTGCGCGAATGATTAGTAAATGTGAATATAAACAAATGTAAGAGTTTTTACCGAGCGTCGAAAGGAGCTATGAACAAAGAGGAAAAAAAGGAGTTAGCCATCTTCATTTCTCATAGTTGAGGTTATCATACCAGTAGACAACTGTTTATCAGCAAGTTCAGACATGTTAATTCAGCAAGTAAGTGAAAGAAGGGAAAAAATAAGCAGATAAAAAATTGTGCCCGCAATATGGGTAGGGCCTGGCAAAATCATCACCTCATTTGCAATTTTTTTCTTCATTGGCTTGATTCTCCGCAGCTGAAGTCACCATCAAATTGATGACATAAATTTCGGAGATTAAACATATTGAACGCGAGACATAGATCCGAAATAAAGTATGTGCTTAAGAAACTTTACAAACTTATTTTCATTTCATTCCGTCTTTTGATCTCTTTACATAACCAAAGACAAGTGCTACATTCCATAGTTAATATAGAGCTTTATTTTAATATTGTACGTCTTGTTGAACTTTTGCTCACCAAATAACCAACTCATAATTTAACCAAGGCTCAAAGACAATGCTGCTGGATGAACGAGCGTTCTTTGTCTCTTTTCAGGGATGAGTAAGGAAAAAGGGATGACAGATATCTTGCCTATTGCAATATTTTTCAAGCAGCTGTAAGAGTAGTGAGCAAAGTCATACATGCCTAAGCTATTAAAAGCTTCACTGATCTGTGTCATCAATATTTCCTTTTCTAGAGAATTGCTCGATTGGATTAAAGTCGGAAGAGTAGAAAGGCAAATAGGCTCGAAACGTGATGTACTCTGCTGTATTGTTAGAAATATTGACTATGACTAGATAGTAGCCCTTCATGTGTAGATACTGATCTATTTTACCCACATATGATCTTTGGAAAGCTAATAAGTGTCTTGTAACTGTCCCTTTGCTTATATTCGTCACGCCTTCACTCTTATTAATTGGCAGTAGAGGTAAATTAAGCCTGTAACTATCATCAAATCACCAAGTCGAATCAAGAATGTTCTTTTTACTCGTTCATAATTCTTAGAGGCTATCCCCTCCTTTTTGTATCTATCCGTCCACTCTTCTCTTCTCGTTAATACCATGTATCTAAAGTGCTTTAGGCTACTACCTCTATCTGGCATTGCAAATTGATAAGGATTTCGACCAAAGAGCAAAATCTCTGCTTTTGATTGTTAGCTCTACGCTGCGATATCTCAAGAAAAGACCGTTTTGCCTAGACACGCATTCCTCATCCCTTGAAAAACATTATGTTACACCTTAACTAGTCAAAAGACATCATAATCTAGATGCTCTTCTCTGTAAACCGTCCCGACAAGTAAATTTACCAAATACGACATGTAGATTTCAATCAACGACTGATTTAATGGGAATTCGAATGAGCACGAGAATTGATGTAATACAAACCTAAAAAAAAGAGGGTTAATTTTATTATCCTTTCTTCATATAGTCCTTTTTCTTCTTTTTTTCTCTTCTTTTTTTTTTAAAAAAATAAAATATGGAGTCATTTCAGTTTTCTTCCTACGCCGACGAATACACTCAGTTATTAACGGAGCTGCATGAAGCCTACTGCAAGGATCAACCTGAAGACGTACTTCAATACTGTTCCAACTTTTTTAATAAAAAATTGGAGGAACAGCGATCGATGTATTTTCGTCAGCAACACAACCCTTTCTTGGGTAAGTTACATTTAGGCAAAGACTGTGTGATACTCATATGTGTGTCATAGAAACCGAAAGACATCCTTTAGCTGATACAGATGATTATCCCACAAGAGACAGAGCTTATTCTAGCTTTACAGTGACAACGACAACCACGAGTATCGATGGAGAGTTGGACGATAACTTTTCTATTGAACCCTTATCGATGCAACCCAACTATAACCGTGGTCGACGTACGTCAGTAAGTGCAGAGTCTATGGCACCCGCTGGTAACAAGTTTGTCAAAAAGATCATTCCCAAGACCGAAGCCCAAATGGAACGTATCAGGAATAGTGTAGGCAACAACTTTTTATTCAAGAACCTGGACGAAGAACATCATCAGGATGTGGTAAACGCCATGATGGAAATGACGATTGAGGAAGGAAAGACGATTATTGAGCAAGGTGCAGTAGGCGACTATTTCTACATTGTTGATTCTGGTACCTTTGACTGTTTCATCACAAAGGATGGTAAGACGAACAAGGTCACCTCTTATGAGACGGGTGGTAGCTTTGGTGAATTAGCTTTGATGTACAATGCTCCTCGTGCGGCAACCATTGTTGCAACTTCAGATGCAAAAGTATGGGCACTTGATCGCGTTACCTTTAGAACTATTTTGATGGAAAATACATCACTTAAACGAAAAATGTATGAATCATTCTTAGCAGAGGTGCCTTTGCTCAAATCACTTGAATCGTATGAACGACACAAGATTGCAGATGCTCTTGAGTCTGTTTATTTCCAGGATAAGGAACAAGTGATGAAGCAGGGAGATATAGGAGATCAATTCTATCTTATCGAATCAGGTACTGCTGTATTTTACAAGACAGATAAAAACGGTGAACAACAAGAAGTGAATCAACTAGGAAGAGGATCGTACTTTGGAGGTAATAGTAAACGTATTTGTTATTTGTGATTTACTTAGACATCTATAGAGCTTGCATTATTGAATGATAGTCCAAGAGCTGCTACGGTCATCGCTAAGGGAAGATTAAAGTGTGCTACATTAAACAAAAAAGCATTCACTCGTTTATTGGGTCCAGTCCATGAAATTCTGAAAAGAAATTCAGAAAATTACTATGCAATTATTAACCAGCAACAGCAGCAACAATAATGTATTTTATAATTAGAGTATTTACACACACAAACACACACACAAGTACACATATAACACATATATCATATAAAAATATTTCTCTTTGCTTTTTTAAATGCCTTTTTCTTTATTTTTCTCCTTGAAAATGAGTTATAAGAACGTTCAGGGGCATAAAAAGAAAGAGAGAGAGAGAGACAAAAAGATGGAAAGGGTTTCAAGCTATCTCACTCTTTTTGTCTCCCTTGGACCCCCTTTTTTATGGCATCTTTTTAACATTCCCTTTCCTTTCATGTTGTTTCTCTTTCCTTTTTTTTTCTACTTTTTAAAATGGCCATTTATTCCCCTATGGAACCAGTCGTACCGCTTCAGCCTTCTGAACCAATTACTGCACCTGGAACAGGTATTGCTAACTTGCCTAATCAAAGACATAAAATTGTAGCAAAGAATGGTGCCAATTTTACCTTGATGGTCTGCGGTACGTTTAGTTTTCTAATGAAGCATCCTTTTGTTCATGTTTGATTTGTAGGAGAGAGTGGTTTGGGTAAGACGACCTTTGTGAACACGTTGTTTACAACGACGATCAAGGAACCCAAGAATTTGAACAGGCGACATGTCAAGCCTCCTTCAAAGACTGTTCAGATTCAAATCACCAGAGCAGGTAATATGGTGTCTAAATTGAAATTATAAAAAAGCTCACAAAAATATATAGAACTGGAAGAAAAGATGTTCAAGGTCAAGTTAACCATTATTGATACACCTGGCTTTGGAGACTATGTCAATAATAAACATGGTTGGATTCCTATTGTTGATTTCATTGATGACCAGCATGAAAACTACATGAGACAGGAGCAACAACCTTGTCGTAAGGGTGTTATCGACATGCGTGTTCATGTTTGTCTTTACTTTATTAAGCCTGCTGGCAATACGTAAGTGTATATTACTGATTTACCATCCGTCTAACCTTCCATAGTCTATCCCCACTGGACGTTGAGGTGATGAAACGATTAGGCTCTCGTGTTAACTTGATTCCAGTCATTGCCAAAGCAGATACTCTCACACCTTCAGATTTGGCTAAATTTAAACAAAATGTAATTGCTCTCTCCCCCCTCTTTCACCCTTTTTTGTATCCTAACATTCCCCTCCCTTATTTATTATTTATAGATTTTGGATGTTATTGCAGCTCAAAATATTCAGTGTTACTCATCTCCTATTGAAAGTGATGATGAAGCTACTACAAAGCGTAATATGAACATCATGGCCGCTATGCCCTTTTCTATTATTGGTTCTACTTTGGATGTAGTCACTCCTGATGGTCGGAAAGTGAAAGGAAGAGAATATTCTTGGGGAGTAGCTGAAGTTGAGAACGATGATCATTGCGATTTTAAGAAACTAAGAAGCTTATTGATCCGTACGCATATGCTCGATTTGATCACCACGACAGAAGAGATCCATTATGAAAATTACCGTCAAGTTCAAATGGAAACTAGAAAATTTGGTGATCCAAGGTAAGTGATATATTTAAAGCCTCCGCCCATGATTTATTCATTAAATACACCAGAGCTGAAAAAGATGAAAATGCAAAGTTTGCAGAAGAAGAAGAAAAGTTACGAAAGAACTTTACTGAGAAAGTAAAGGCAGAAGAAGCTAGATTCCGTCAATGGGAACAACAGGTAAAAGATAATCAAATCCTCCACGTGATCTAACACAGCTAAATAGCTTTTGGCTGAAAGAGATAGACTTCATAAAGAACTAGAGATTCAGAGTGAACGCATTAAAGAATTGCAGTTTGAAATTGAATCTTATTACACTCAAAGGGATTCGCCAAGAAGCGTCAGAAAATAATATAATAAATCCGCACACGGGAGAGGAGTTGTTGTCTTAAAAATAAAACAATAAAAAAATCTTTCCTTTTTTTTTTTTTCCTTTTTTTTATCAACTATTTTAAATGACAACGTTTAATCATCATTCAGCAAATAAAAGGAGATCCCCAACCAATTCAACAGAATCAAAAGCATCTCAGTGGCAACATTGGGCTGAAGAACAGACAGACAGTGCTTATGAAAAAGAATCTAATCAGCGATCTCTACACATCAGACACGCACATAAACCAGCAAAGGAAATATTAGATAAAATATTACCTTCACTACCCTTATGTTTTTGTAACAAGCCTGCTTATCGTAGCTTCACTCTAGAGTATGGTCCAATCCTAGAATGTGGCAATTATCAACTGGCAGCTGATAACAACCATATAAAGATTAAATATGTCTGCGGATTTCACGTTCATGAACTCTCTTGGAATAAATTACGAAAGAAGCTTAGTGAAGGTGGACTAATCACTGCTGATCACCCAGAACTGACGACCTGTCCACTTTACAATTTCACCTTTTGCGTTACATTCTATTTAACTAACCAATATCCCAAATGCCCACCTTCCTTACCTGTCTGCTTTTGTAACCGCACGGTCGTGTTACGAGAATCACCTACGAAACCACCATCAGATCAATCTAGACTCTTTGAATTTACCTGTGCCAACTGTGATATCGAAGGCGTCAAGCCCAAGTGTAGCTGGATTCTTCGAGCAAAAGAAGTTGCATTCCCTCGTCCCAAGCACAAGATACACCGTATTGTCGACACAGAGGAGTATACAGATACCAAACCATCACCATTAGCAGCGAATAATAGTAACAACAATAATAATCCAAAGCATATCTCAAAGGATCATCAGCAGGGCCTGTTGTGCACTTTGACTCTCAGTTCTCAACCAAATTACATGAATAGTTTCCAGGCGCTAAAGATCGCTGATACATCTGTCAATCCTGAGCCTAGTTCGTCAAATTCGACTTCAGGAAGTGCTTCTCCTCGATACTCAAGTCTTGTTCCGACCTCTGTCATAGTTAAAAGGTCTGCGAGCCCAAAGTCAGTGGCATCTGGCTCACACGGAAATACCTGTCCCCTCGAGAAGAAAGTTCAGGAGCAAGAATTACATATTTCCCAAATGAAAACGCAGTTATCTCAAATGAATGCAAAAATGGAAAGTGTTGAGTCCATGGTGAAGCTATTCAAACGTGCTCTTGAGGATATGCAATTGGATGTACATCGTCATAGACGCATGTTTCAAGAAGAGCAAGGATTGAGAAGACATACACAGAGCAGATTGTCTAGTATTGAACTTGATGTTGTACAGATGCTTGCAGAGAAAGAACAGTTATTAGCAGATATACACGACCTGACCAGAGGTGAAGAGCATAGTGGCGAAGCAGAAAAGTGCCGTGTATGTTTCAATCGACCCGTAGAATATGTTCTTTTGCCTTGTTTCCATTTTGGTAAAGAAATACAACATACCATTCTTTTTCATAAAACTGACACTATTTATAGCTTACTGTGAAATGTGTTCATCAAGACTGACTGAGTGCGCTCTTTGTCGTTCTGTAGTAGAGAAGAGACAAAAGATCTTTAAGCCTTAATATCTAAAGACAACTCCTGTATACCCCCCCTTTTTTTCCTCTCACTCCTTATCATTCTTTTTATGCTCATTCCCTTTATATATAAAATAACAAAAAATGTACAAATAAATATTGCGATAATTATTGTTAAACCACATATTAACTATGAATAGCATGATCTGGATTTACCATTTGAGCGACAGTAGCTATAGTTTCACTATCCAGTTCTTCAGTGGGTGATGCGATTGCCATGACACTTGATTGATTATCTAATCGAGCCTTCATTTCTCGAGCATACCTTGCTTTATCTTGATTTGCTATTTCAATCCATGGCTGTAGCTCAGCTGGAGACATCGACCTCCACTTTAAGCCTATCTGTTTGCTAATGTCAACTAGCTTTGCGTCTGGATACTTCATTTTTATGATCGGCCGCATCTTTTTTGCAAAATGCAGATATGCTGACATTGGGTGTTTCGGTAGACAGTCGTTGGGCTCCCTCTTTTTCCTGCCTCTTGGATCTGGAATACCGCCCTCACTTAATGAGGATTTTTTCTTGTAGTAACTTTTCTTTCGTTGACAATCCTGTTGTTGTTGTTGTTGTTGTTGTTGAGTCTTGTTGCATTTTTGGAGTTTTTTTAATAGGCCGGCTTGCTTTAGTTCAGCCTTGGATCTTCTACAATATATAAAGTTGGAATGCTCATTACTGTGCTGTTGCTTCAACCGAGACTCTTCTTTAAAGTAAACGTCTCTTTCAGCCTAAGCATACAAGAAGGGCATAAGTGAATGAATTCGGGATAAAATAGTCATCAGCTTGCCTGTGACAACTGCTTCCATCTTTGACTGATGTTTTTACTAATCTCACCCGAAGACAAGCCCTGGTTATAACCCTTCAACTTGCGTCGCATGTCTCTATTAAACAAGAGATACGCATTGGGCGGACGTTTGACTTTTTCGGGAGCAGTACCGTACTTTCTTTGTGTGCTCAAGCTGGGTTTGATATCATTTGTGTTGAACGTGAGTGAATCTAGAGCAGCCGCCTCAGCTGCAGCAGAAAATGTTAAATTAGGAATAATCTTGTATCGGACATCCTTCTTTTCTCTCTCTTCTTGTTGTTGATACATGCTTGGAAGATAATGATTATATAATGAATGATGATGTTTGGTGGATGGATGATGTTCTTCTTCGTTCGGAATAACCATTGAAGAAGGCGATAATATGTTTGATATGTTTAGTTTTCTATTACTATTGATTCTACTATCTATATCTAACGTAAACTGTATGCATTGCGATTGATTCTTAAACTCTGCTTTTTGCTCCTATTCAACAAGAGATATGAATATAACGGTTAAATGGATGGTTCTCCTGACGGAGGACTTGCCTTTGACATCAATTTCCATTCTTCTGATAATTGATTACTAGTTATATACTGTCCTCTTATTTTTGATTCATGCCTTCTTTTTGCACAAAACAGTAAGAATGAGTTAGGTGCCTTTTGACGTGCATTTTTTATCATTTCTGAATATTCAATTTGATCGTCCAACACTATACTGGTCATCATGAATGAAATGAAAGAAAAGAAAAGAAAAAAGAAAAAAAGAGAGAAAAAGATAATGCTGATCTAAAGAAAAAGGGATATTTATAGTTACCTTAATTTCCCAAAGTTCTCGTGTGAAAGTGTTACTGGGAAGTGAAGAATATACACAATGGCTCAAGTACCATGGACTCAATTGTTCTCGTCTATTTCTATTGATGAACAAGTAAAAAAAAGTTAAAGATAATCCTTAAGATTGAAATGAAGCTCGTTCAGATAGTATAAAAGGACTGAGTTATGCATTACACAAGACTTTGTTCATGACAAAAAAAAAGCTCGGTAACCTAGCAATTTACGCCACGTCTTATATAGACTCTAGGTCCCTGCAGAGAAACAATATATATATACATATACACATATATTTATAGCATAGTTTTCTCCTTTTTTTCATAGAGTGCTTATTTTCTTCTTTTGACTTTGACGTTTTATGACAATGTATCGTCGTACTTCACGTCTTCCCCGCATCATTTTTGTTAAACATAGTTTGTTCTACATGATGTTGACAGTAGCACACACATGCGCGTAGTTTAAGCAGAGATCAACGTCAATATAGTTGGATATCTCTTTTATCGATGATGTAGAAATAATTTGGTCCAAGCAAATTCAAAGCTTATCTCATTCACATGAACATTGTTATCTTGAAACAGCTAAACTGCCTGTTGAGATTGTTTACGCACACATGTATTTTTGTACATGCTAAAGAGTTTCCTTCCCTTTACTATTTTTTATACAAGTATATCTTATTTTCCCTTCATTAAACTTATTCCTCTTGAATAAAATACAAGTTCCTGAAATATGAAAAGACAGAGAGAGCAGATATGGTCTGCAGCCGAGTTTCATTTTCCGCTTGTGGTGTTTTTATCTGTTTATACTCGAGAATACATTCTATCCAGAACTATGGTAGCAACAACATCTCTGATAGCCAAGTAAACCATTTTTTTTCTTTGATTTATCTCTAATAATCATTGATTTTCTGCTTTATTTCTAATAATATTCACATTTAAACAATAAGGTGGCTATAATAAATAAGCTTTTCTGAATGTATAACCGGAGATGCAGAAATACGTTTAGCTAAGCATAAAACAAAAGCATTGGTATATTACTCTTTATAACCAGAAGATAAAAAAGTTTCCCCAATGAGATCCTCATCTACGATCGCTGAAACTGATTGAAGTCATTCAAGTGTACACTATCGCATGTCTTATTCATTTTAGCCATTACCCCTTCTTTTTCCAGAATCCTATTTCGCTTTGCTTTACTCTTGACATAACAGCTCAATTGGATTAAGCTTAGGAGAATATGATTGATATCCTTAGAATTGAATACGTTTTTCTGTATCAGCTGAGCATTAGAAATGACTTTGGACTTTCTTCTAAAAGCCAAGATCCCAAACCCCGCTAAAGACGCATGTCCAGAAGAGGCTGTAGCACAGAAGAGGACAGTAATCTTTTTTAGAGAACAGCGTACCCTTGATACAATTGAAACAAGTTAAACCATCACTATGGAAGCAGATGACGTGCTCAATAAACCTTATTGACAGCGTATCTTTTGCAGTCTTTGTTGAGCAGTTCAGAGTAACATCAACTTTGTTAAATGCACAAGTGTTCACTTTAATGTTGACTCTGCATCAATCAACAAAAGGTGGCCCCAAACTCATCAAATTAACCTGCATCTTTCATACAACCACGTATACACCAGCCTGTTTGGGGAAACCAGGTCGTTCAAAATATATAAACAGCAATCGTTGCTTAGTGGAAGATCTTTAAACATGTGTCGCCGAATTTGTGCTACTATATTCTCCCGAACTGGGCCTTGTGATTTCGTCATTCTTTCTTTATGAAAGTGGCTATCTCTATTAAGAATTAATATGAAATGTCTGTACAAAAAAATTTAAGTTCATTTTTAAAGCACATCCGTACATAATCGCTTTGAATTTTTCTCCCAGTTTTAAAGCAGAAAAGGGAGAGAAGTTCAGCAAACACATCTGAGAACACATCAAAACAATTCGTATTGAAGTTTGACACACAAGCAAATATGCGATGCTTTAAATGTTTTTATAACTAAAAAGGATATGCTCTCTGTGTGAAAATATGAGTAAGCCTGTTTTGTTAAAATAAAAAGCAAAGGATACTATCGCCACATAATTAAAGCGGCAGACAAGCAACCAGTTTTTTGTTTGAAAAATATCAGTGACGCAGCAGCTTCAAAAATAGCTCAATCGAGAAAATTCAAGTGTTTCTCTCGCTGAAAAGTGGTATTGGCGCATTTGATTTTTCAAGTGTCTACACGCACTTTCCATTAGATATTACAATTATACATCATTATACATTTTTATATATGATATGCCGTACAATAAAATGTTGCGATAAACTATAGAGCTCAAAAAAGAATACGTGTTCATTCGATATGGTATAGTAGACGAGACTTTTGACTTAGAAGGTCTATTTAAGTGCTCTTTTATGCATAAAATAAATTATATTATCATTTAAACAGTGGATTAGTTTGATAATCTAATGTGGCGTTATCAAATGTACCTTATTGCATATGAAATCAAAATAGTAATAAAGATCATCTAAATTACGTCTGTTCTCGTGATAAAAAGGAGATCCATTAATGCTTTCAATAACCTAACAGAATATAAATCATATTGGTTGGAAGGTCGACATTCAGCTGTCATGTTTTTCGTACACTTTATTAAGATGGAGTTTTAATAACAGGTATTGCATAATTAAGCTATTGTGTGCGTGGTCAGTGAAATACATTCCTTTATAGCTGATGAAAGTGAATATGTATAAATGTCAATTTATTTTATGTCCAAGTTCTATTGCTGGAAACATCAGAGGCTCATTATGGTAAGTGCCTGAGAATATACACCGCCACAAGCATACAGAAATCCACACACACACGTGTAAGGTTACCCCTAATGTATTTTGTCCAACATGGATATGATACAACCCACAACCAATCTTAATCAATAGATTTCAATTGTTTTAGTATCGTATAAAGAAAAAATTTTTTTTGCCATCTCCTTTGTGATAAAACGTGTTAAGAAGTCTTTATTTACTAAAAAGAATAATAATACAGAACACTTTTTTTAAGAAAAAAAAGAGGGAATATATGTATGTATGTGTGTGTGTATATATATAAGAGAAAAAGAATCTAGAGTACATAAAGAATACATAGGCGAACGAATTAGGCTAATGACCAAGTAATCTTGCCTACACCTTTGTTCATATCACCAATGACCTTCTTGAATACTATAGGAGTAAGGTCGAGATCACCCTTCTTACATTCAGGACAAGCATCATTGACCTTGGCATAAGCAGTTCCTTTGGGGCCCTTGATCTTGAGTCTCTTTCCACACCACTTGGATTTCTTGCTCGTGCTTCCATATTGAGGACGGTTCATGGCAACGATCATGGAATTATTGTTTTCTTCGGGTCCACAGGCGCCTTGAGATCCACCTTCAGTAGCAGGTAAGAACCAAGTACCAGTACCTTTAAAAGTACCACTCATTCCACTGCCTCTCTTTTCTAATTCGGATGAATATTTGCTGTCAATGGGAGCTGCGTAAACCAAAGCAACGAATGCAAGGATAGCAAAGATGATGAAAGAAACAGAGCGAGACATTTTGTTGTTGTTAATGCTTTTTTTTGTTGTGTAAAAAATAAGAAAAAGAAACGACCAGCGTTAAACAGAAATATAAAATGAAATGAAAAGATGAATTGAGAAAAAACGAGTGAACTGGGAGCTTATATTTATATCAATTGAAATGTACAAGTTCAGACGGAGCGAGACCACGTTCAGGCACCGAAACTGTCTGTTCAAAGGCTAATAAATGAAAGTTTCCTTTTTTGATTTAATATCCAAAATACTATTTTGTTCTCCGACAATTATTTTTTCATAAACATGAGAAGCTTAGGCCACAAACATCATCTCGTCCTCATGTTAATATGTATGGATATGATGCAATCATCCCCCCATTATTCTAGTACTTTCATATGCTCATCATTGCCATTATACCTCATTCAATACCTTTGGAAAGGCGAATGGGGGACCCAGCACCCGAAAACAATAAAGAATCGTCAAGGGAACCCGCTTGTGTAGCCATTTGATTTTCTTTTTAACAGAAAGAACAAATGTATCATTTGTGTTACTTTCTAAATCTATAGTTCCGGTTGGCAAAAATTATTTCATCTGGATGTCACCTAGGCGACAAGCCTCGTTAAGGTCACTAAACAACCATTGAGAAAAAAAATTTTTTTCGGTTATCGATATGACAACATTTTAGCAGAAAAATGCAATTCTATTTAATTGCTTCAATAATGTCTCTCTTTATCTATTAAATATACATCAAATATGAATAACATTTATGATATACATTTTATTAAACATCTATTCCAACGATTTCAGAATTTCCTCAACTTTGTTTTTGAGCGAACGGAATCGGAAAACTGAACCGAAACATTCAAAGGGAGGACAAGAGCACGATTGCTAATTTACAAGTTATGGTTAAGTCATATTGAGAAATGCCTTGGAATTGAACTTGTATGCTTCATAAACTTGCTTTCATCTGTTTAACGTAACCCAAGGCGAAAATGTTTTTGCCCTTGTGATTTTGTAAGGTGTCATTTTATAAATTACAAGTCGCATGCAAAGTTAATCCAAGTCATTCATAAAAATAACATCTAACGAATGGTTTAACTCAACCGATCAAGCAAAAAAAAAAAAAGGAACAAGCAAATTAATCTTGACTCATGTGATCTTTTGAATCTATGTCCGCCAGAGCAAATATATATAAAAAAAAGACTATGTAAATGATAGAAAAAAGGCTGTTAACCATAAATTACTTTGTTTATAAACCTTTAGTAAACAATACATAAAAGGATGCCTTTCTTTTCTTCTTCTTCTTCAAGTTTAACAACAGAAACACCGATCGAAAAAAAAAAAGAGGGGGAAAAATATACGCACTGCGTGGTCTGATGTGGGTCCCAAATTCTGTTCATTCCATTGATACCGTTCCGATGCGCAGCTTCCGTTACTATTGTTTACTTTTTTAATTTTACTCCTTCAATTTTAAACGACAGCACTTTACTCCTTTATGCTTTTATTTATGTAAATACTTGTGCAAAATGTCAAACTGGTTCCATCCTTGAAACTGCAGCACTGTTTTTTATTCAAGTGCCACAAAGGAGAACAATTGGTGTGCCTCGGTTTTTGTCTGAATGATTCTGTTCTAGGCCATTGCACAAGATGCTCGTACTACTCTTACCCTTTTCTTGTTGTGACCTGATAACCTTAAGTGTCTCCTCTTTCTGTATTTTTTTTACCCCAAACATGAGGGCATTAACTCAGGAGTTGAGTGTTGTTAATAATGAAAAGGTTTAAGAACAAGAGGGGTTGTTCGGGTTTATAAGCTTGACAACAAGTTTAAAATGCTATTGAAGTATGGAGATATCAAATAGGACCGAGCTTAAATTTAGTTACTCAAGTCCAACAGGAAACAGATGCGATTGGATAAAATAGATATTTTTGATAAAGAGAGGAACAATAATTTGTGAGTTGGTGACCAAAAATATGAATAATGATGCTGACGACTATTTTCATCCCTTTGTATCTAGTTTTCACTTGCTTTAAACGAGTAATAAAGGTGACTATGCATAACTTCTTTAAAGTATAGCTAAAATTATTGCTGCTTGTTGCTTTTTGTAGTCCTTACATATTGATGTTTGATCCCTTGATCTTTATATTATTTCTTTCACATCATGAAAAAAGAATGCTAGGGATGCATGCTTTGGGATATTGAATTTTATTATCAATGAAATGGGGTGACTCCTGAAATACCCTATTTCTTGGTACATAATGGAGCAATGATCGTTAAAGCGTTAACAATGCTTTGATGGATGTATATTTATCAAAAATAACTATTTTGTCAGCATCGATAGTTTTGCTGAATTACAAAACTATGCCTCCAGGCCTTTATTTACCGTGTATCATTAGGGTGAATATGCTTATCCTTCTTTTCTTTATTCCTCCTGTACAGCTAAAAGTTCATGTTCAAGAATCACACGAGACTCCCCAATACAAAATAAGGGGAGAGAGTGCTGTTCTAGATGCATCTTTTTCATTCAAAACAAGTCATATTTCTTAAACAAGATTCATACAAGGAATTTATACCCAAAGATATGGGATTGTGATGTTCCCTAAAAAACCGTTTAGAGTAGGGGTATCTCTGCTGTTAGAGATTACATTCATTGAACTATACGATTATTAACCCGCTAGTTTGTAGAAAGACTCTCTTGTTGTAAATAAGACAATATACAATTCTTTCGGTTACGCTAAGAACGATTATGCATTTCGCCAAAGTCACTTTGACACAAAGGTCGTCCCGTCTGAGCTCAAAATTTGCCTCAAGGCAACCTTGGGAGACAGTGTGTGAGTGTGAGTGTGTGAGTGTGTGAGTGTTCTTCTAATTAAAAATTGTACAATGTCATTTGCTAAAGAACGTGAAAGGCGTCCAAATGCTGGCAGTAGGTAAACTCTACTTGCAAAAAAAAAAAGACGACCATGCTTTATACTAAACTTAAATTTCAAAAAGGATGCGAGCACTGCTTAATCAAGAAATAGAAATGGAGGAACTGTTTGAATATAAAGAGAATGACGAAAGCGATCAAGAATTTCCAGAACAAAGTAAGATTATAAAACTAGAGCGAGATCATGGTGATTGATTATAGAATACAGTGATGGAAGAAGAAGAGGATGTTGTTGATTCAGATTTTGATCTTGATTCTTCAGAAGGCGAACAAGAGCAAATAGAAGAAGGCCAAGAAATGGATAAAAAGATTGCGAAGGAAGAAAAGAAAGTACGTATTCACGCATACGATCGTCATATTTACTCATTTGTATAGTCTCGCAAAAGCACATTTAATCCCACTATACCCAAAGCATTTAAAGTTACACGGAAACCAACTGAACAGCGGAAAAGAAAAAGAGACGTGGATACCGTGCAGGATAGAGAAGATCGTACGGTACGACAGTCATCGAGAAGAAATACTATGCTGAACCGTATATTATTGGAAGATCAGATAAAAGAGCATGAAAAGAAAAAGGTAGATAAACAACATTAGAAGCCTCATTCTAAAGTATTCTCAGGCACTTCAACCCAAAAGAGATCGCGCAGTAAGCGCCGAATTGACACAAGAAGAATTACTAGCAGAGGCAGCAGTGACAGAAGAAAAGAATAAGTCATCCTTACTCGAATGGCAAAAGAAGGAATCAGAACGTAAAGCGAATGCTAAAATTAAGGGTGATAAGGAACTTAGTGGACCCTTCATACGATATCATTCGTTCATTGAGCGTTGTACAGAAGATGGAGATGGAGAAGCAAGCGAGGACAAGGAGCTCTTTGAACCAATGGGAAGAAATTTGATCACGTTTGTGGAAGAGACTGAGGATGAAAAAAAAGATGAGCTTGACCTTGACTCAGCTGGACTCATTCACCATTTATCACCTTGGTTGGTTAAAGAGCCAAAACCAAATAAACCGATCTTGTGTCCCATCAGTGGTGAAACAGCAAAATATAGAGATCCTTGTACAGCTGTACCATTTGCTAATTTGGACGCATACAAAGTCATAAAATCATGCCTGGATAACCAGATGAACTGGTCGCCTACTCTTGGAATCTATTTGGGTAATCTACCTAGTGCCAATGGTACTCCAGAGGGATGGAATGTATAATAAAAGTACCAATAAACAGCAGGGTTAAATTATTATTGGCTAAAAACAGAGTTAGTCATTTTGCTGAATAAGAAACTTGGAGAGTCTGAAGTTAAAATTACTCTCCGGCCCAATAGCTGCGTGATCCCAGCTAAATGACGCAAAAAGGACTGCATAAATGCATAAAAAGCTCTGTGTCTACCTTACATCTTGCCGTTTTTTTCTTTCATCTACATGTCAAATATAGAGAAAACAGATTCAGCAAAGAAAGCTGATTTTATAGAATATAAAGGACCAGAAGAAGAATATTCAGTCGGAAGTGATTCAAAAGAATTCATTCCACCTTCACCTGAAGAAGTGAAGGCTGTCTTGTGGAAACTAGATTTACGAATTATACCCTTTCTCGGTCTTCTCTATCTCTGCTCATTCCTAGACAGAGTCAATATTGGTAATGCTAAACTTGCTGGTATTACTAAGGATCTGAATATCACCCCAAGTGATTTCAACATTGCTTTATCCATTTTTTTTATTGGCTATGTAAGTTATATTCTATCTTGAATCATGTCTCCTTAATTTATACATGTGTAGATCCTATTTGAAGTACCATCAAATTTGATTCTCAAGTTTATTGGCCCGAGTAAATGGATTCCAATTGTGATGATCAGTTGGGGCACAGTCGTAAGTTGTATATATCTGTAATTAGAGAAAGAACGCCAATCCCCTTTTATCACAGATGGCTGCTATGGCTGCTTGTACGAATACAGCAGGCCTATTGGCTGCTCGTTTCTTTTTGGGCATAACCGAGGCAGGTTTATTCCCAGGCGTCATCTTTTACTTATCTTTGTGGTATACTCGCGCGGAACAAGCAACAAGAGTGGCCATCTTTTTCGCCTGTTCTACTGTGGCCGGCGTAATTATACACAATTGATCATAACTAAATGAGGGTTAACCTATTGCTTCTTTAGGCATTTGGAGGCGTTTTAGCTTATGGCATTATGCAAATGGACGGCATCAGAGGCCTTCACGGTTGGCAATGGATTTTTATCATCGAAGCACTTCCCACGTTAATTCTCGCATTCATCTCCTACTTTTTCCTTCCCGACTTCCCAGAGAATTCAAAATGTACGTACTTGGGAATTTGTCAAAGGTGTGTGAAACTTATACTTTTTTTTTAGTCATCAATGAACGAGAACGTGAGATTATTATTCATCGCTTGAAAGAAGATGCAGGTCCATCCACTGAAACTCACTTCTCCTGGAAGCAATTCTGGGCAGTATTCACGGACTATAAGGTGTACATGCATTGTATCATCTATATCTGTTGTGCTACACCCCTTTACAGCCTTAGTTTGTTCCTGCCCAGCATCATCCAAGGTATGGGTTTCACTGACCTGCGCGCGCAGGCGATGTCTGCACCTCCATATGCTATAGGTAAGCTTACTCTTTGTTTCGCTGGGAGTTGGTTATCAACAAATAACTTTTATATGCATAGCCTGTGCCGTTACTGTCGTGGTAGCAATGGATGCTGACAAGAGACGTGAGCGTGGTCTTCATCTTGCTGTACCTGCTGCTGTGGGTGCACTTGGCTATGCTCTTTTGGTTGGTCTCCGTAACCACGGCCCGGTTGCCATGTATATTGCGGCTTGTATTGCCACAACTGGTGTCTTTGCGAATGTCCCCGCTATGCTTTCTTGGTTTACAAACAACATCGGTGGTCACACAAAGCGTGGTGTAGCTTGTGCTTTTATCATTTCCGTTGGCAACATTGGCGGAGCAATCGGTGGACAGATTTATCGTGCTAACGACGCACCTCTTTATGCTCGTGCTAATTCTGCTGCCTTGGGACTGATGTGTGGTGCAGTCTTCTTTAGTCTCTTGTTTAAATGGCTCTTGATGAGAGAAAATGCTAGAAGAGATAGATTAACGCCCGAAGAATTTGAAAAGGAAGCAGCTGGTGAAGAGCTCTGTGATCTTCATCCTGGATTCAGATATCTGTCATAAACATTGTATTATATTTAGAAAACACTACTACTTTCTTACTAATTAATATTAATTTCTATTTAAAATAAAGAATGACTAAAAGAATGAAATGAGAATAGATGGTGAATTTTTAGCAGTTATATGAAATATACTCGATATTGCCTGTTTTTCTTTTCAAAAAAAAGATACGAGCAAGATGTATGTTGATACAAGCAGAACAGTAGCAGTACAGGATATAAAGGTCATAGCTTTCCTGTTATTCTTTTAAAGTAAAGTGTATGCAATAGCTCTTTTATGCTGTATTATGCAACATTACTTAATTTCAATTCTAATTGTATTAGAAAAGTCTACTAATAGTCTATAATAAAGCATTGTTTGAGATATAAATGATCTACTCCAAGTGAATATATTGATATATAAAAACGTACTATATCTCAGGCGTAATTGACAGTTTTAATTTATCTTTCAAGGAACCAGGAGAAACCCCATGGCTTATTTTGCTTGCTATTTTTGATTTGAATGATCACGCTCAGCGGTCAAAGGGTAGAACCCTTATCACGTGAAAATTAATTAAGTTCTCCCCCCCCCACATTTTGCTGTCATTGAAAAAATTTTTATTACAAGGCTAAAAAGGACCCTCTTTGAATAACGGAGATCAGTACTATTACTTTTGACGGCGAGCGGCAGCAAAGGTATGTAGATAGTCGATGAAAACTTGAACGAAATTGCCGTGATTGAACATACTGATCAAAAGGATAGAGAAGATGCTGGCTAAAATCGTTTGACTCGCATTGATGTGATTGTTACCCAAACATCCTGGTGAAGTATTCCAAATGCGACTGTTGCACAAATATTTGCGCTCCTTTCGTCGATTTGAAACCATTTGAACTGAATGATCTAATTGTTGGCGTCTCATCAACATCAATTCGTATAGAAGATGTGATCAATTCATTCATTGTTTTGGTTCCCGATACCAGTTTATTGCTGTTGTCACTATTTTTCAATATGGCCAGCTCAACATGTTCATATCGTGTGTTTATCCCAGGAAAGGAGGTTAACGGAGCTTCGCTCCTTCTCAAGGCTGTCCCTTCATAGTGTGCGTCTGTGGAAGGAAGCCGCCCATATATCTTTGCATAGTTTACAAGCAGGGTCTTATTTTTTTCAATAAAAACCATGCTTTCAAAAGCTCTAACGCATAAATACCGCAGCGACGGCGACTGAATCTAGTCTGTTGTATTTCGCTTTGACTGTTATTTGAAAAGGCGAGTAAGTCGATAACTTGCGAATAAGATTCTTGTTGAAAAGAAGTAAAGAGTATTATTAAAATAAGACGCATGTACGTTTTATAGGGAGAGAAAATCTATGGCTGCTATTTATATTAATGTCGTCAGTGTGATTATTTATCAATGTTGTCAGCACTCTTATTCTTTTCACATGCGATAGAGGAATGTAAAGTAGAATATATGCTTTACTGTAAAATTATACTCGAGTTATTATAATGATTCATGTCAAACACATTACAGTCACCGTTCGGCCAAGTGGAAAGGTTGCTATCCAGTTCAACATAAGGCTCATTTGAAAGCGCGTTCTTTCAGGGCTGGGTGATACTCAAACGCTCATCAGAATACTTCCTTTTCATCGGTGTCGTGGAGAAAAACGAGGGCTTTCGATGTTGTTGATTGAATACCGAGCGATTTACAACGCTGGGTGCTGTCAAGAGGTTGAACTCACATCCTTTGTCACCTGTATATGCTATAGGTTGAAAATCACCCAGCAAAGTAATCATAAGCTTTTTTTGTTGTTCGCCTTTGGGTAAATCAAATGCATCGAATGCTGATATACAGCAGAATCATAATCACGCAGCTTGGGGTACTTTTTTTTTGTAAGCCACAACTCGCAGTGAGAGGTGTGCTTAGAAGGAGGGGCGAAGAATATTAAACTTTTAACAGTGGGGATGATGTGCGACGTCAGAAAAGGCTTGCGATCAAAAACGTACTTCCAATGTGTTACATTTTTTTAAGGGACAGAAATGGACGCCAATTTTAGCTAGTGCCGACAATTGTTTTTAATCAGAGTGACAATTCCATAGGTTTGACTGTATAAAAAAAAAGAACCAAATAACCATGTCTTAATTAAACAAAAGTATCCATACCAAAAAAGCTCTCCAACCTTGTTGATAAAAAAAGATAAAAGGATAAAGAGGAACGGACGGAGAAAGAGACAACAAGGATGTAGGGCATCATATACCCACAAGAAGCAATGCAGTCATCATCTCGATCAGAAGAGTCACTACTGAGTCTGAATTATGGGACTTTCTGCTTTTTTTCGTTTCTTTTGTTCTTTTTTATCCAACAAAGTTCCTTTTTTGTAAAGATCCTTTCAACCAAGAAAGTGAAAACGAAGCAAATACCCAGTGAAAGCCAATAGTATACAAATGTCTGATAACGCCATCAAGATATTCACGGGTAACTCCCACCCTGAACTTGCCAAGCTTGTAGCTAGTCGTATGGGTATTGATTTAGCCAAGGCTGTCGTCATGAAGTATTCCAATCAAGAAACTTCTGTTACTGTTGGTGAATCTGTTCGTGATGAAGATGTATTTATTATTCAATCTGGTTGTGGTGAAATCAACGATAATTTGATGGAGCTTTTGATTTTGATTAATGCCTGCAAGACTGCCTCTGCTCGCAGAATCACTGCTGTTATCCCCTGCTTCCCATATGCTAGACAAGATAAAAAAGACAAAAGTCGTGCTCCTATTACTGCTAAATTAACCGCTAATATGCTGACTGTGGCTGGTGCAAACCATGTCATCACCATGGATCTCCATGCTTCTCAAATCCAAGGTTTCTTTAACATTCCTGTAGACAATTTGTACTGTGAACCATCAATGATCAAGTATATTCGTACAAAGATTCCCGATTGGAAGAATGCTATCATTGTTTCCCCCGATGCAGGTGGCGCCAAACGGTAAGTTCTTAATACCCTGATCCTTGTCATCATCAGCTCACATTTTTTATAAAATAGTGCCACTTCAATTGCCGACAGACTTGAGCTCGATTTTGCCTTGATCCACAAAGAGCGTAAGAGAGCCAACGAAGTATCTCGTATGGTGTTGGTAGGTGATGTTACGGGCAAGATTGCTATTTTAGTGGATGATATGGCAGATACTTGTGGTACTCTTGGATTAGCTGCTAAAACTTTGGTTGAAAATGGCGCTGTCAAGGTGTATGCTATTGTTGCTCACGGTATTCTTTCTGGTAAGGCCATCAAGGTTATTAATGAATCTGTCATTGAGAAGCTCGTTGTGACAAACACTATCCCTCATCAAGATAAGATGGTAAGTAACCAATCATAATGTGCGTATATCATAGTAACCAAACCAAATAGGCCATTTGCCCTAAACTTGATGTAATTGATATTTCTCCTACTCTTGCTGAAGCTATCCGTAGAACTCACAATGGTGAATCTGTATCCTACTTGTTTTCTCATGCTCCTGAATAAGCATTTTCATAATTATTTAGCATATTTATATACACAACACAAAAAACTTTTAAAAATCATCACAATAAATCAATGCAAGTCTTTTAGATTATTTCTTTAATTCAGAAATGTTGTTATTTCGTCTTGGTGCTACTATCAGCATAATCCCACAAAAGCTATGGCATCCGTATTATTTTACTTTGCTTCTTCTGGCAGTGTTTTATAATATATCTTCCTGCGATATCTACTTTTGAAGCCAAATTTTATTCTTTATTCCATATTTCTAAAAGCGTCCTAATAATTCCGAATAAAGTATAAGGAGAAGTTAAGATTTTATACGTTTTCTCTTTTTGCTTTTAAAGAAAAATATGAAGAGAATAGGGACAGTAGCCGTGGTCACCTTGGTCATGCTTGTTACTGCGACCATACTTCTCTTGTATAGTAAACAGATTAAATCTACCATGACAGCATCTTCCATTTCTCAGCAAGATTCACATGTAATTATGGGACACATGACGAATCAAACAGAAAGGTTATATACATTAACTGAAAGCAATGTTTTATTATTAAAGCATCTTTCCTTTAAATAGAGCAGAGCTTGGAAGAGCAACATGGAAGGTAAGCTTGAATAGATTAAACATGGACTTTTTCACTCAGAGCAATAGTTTTTACATACGATGATGGCAAGATATCCTGAAAACCCGACAGAGCAGGAACGAGAGTCCCTGAAGGAATTCATGTTTCTTTTTTCAAAGTTGTATCCTTGCGGAGAATGGTAAGCGAACCACTTTTTTTTTTTTAATACCACTAAGATGAATATATAGTGCCCGTCATTTCAATCAAATGATTACTCAATACCCACCACAGACTTCATCAAGAGCAGCTGCTTCTCAATGGTTATGTGCAATGCATAATAATGTGAATGAAAGGCTAAAGAAGCCATTATTTGATTGCAACAATATTGAAGCAAAATATCCCTGTGGTTGTTCAGAATAAATAATGCATTGTATCCATTTCACACACAAGAAGCAACAATTCATCAGGAAAGGTCTAATGCATTCATCTAAAGGCTTGTAAGAAAGCAAAGACCTATGTGAATGATGATTGAAACGTCCCTTCTATTTGAAATAATATGTTGAGTTTTATTAGTTAACGCATAAAATGACCTTGATAATAAGAAAAACATTATGCTCTTTATAAGCTTAAAAGGTGACTAACAATACCACATATTGAGTTTGGCCTTGAAAATACCGTGCAATCTTCTTCTACAGAAGCGTAGAAATACAGCGACTTGAAGATGATGAAGGGGCACATGCTTTGAAGCGTAATCTTTCAGCAATGCATTCATAATTACGCTTGGAGATAATAGAAATAGCGAGACAAAGGGGGTCCTTAAAATTTAGGTGTTGCTATTTGCACACAAGCCATTTTGTTTATGCGACAAGCAACCATAATTTCGAGTACCGATCACTATCTTTTTTTGTTTGTCCTCTTTCTAGAATGCAATCCACAGAAAGCGGTTCACATAAACGACTTGATCACCCTTATGACTCTGAAGACTATATAAATGGTTTACCAAGAAAAAAGTTTATATCCGAAGAAAGCTTTGCAAACGAAATGGCAGCCATGTCACTAGATTCTAGCAAGAACCCCATTACCTTTCAAAGTAAAACAAGAAAAGCAGTTTATAATATATAAACAAGAGTAATGCGACCTTCTTTTATATACTAGGAGGCCCCAATGAACGATATATCTATGATATAAACAATAGCATAACAAGTAATAAGAATGTGGTAAGAATTGATGATATCAATCAATTTCTCGAAGAGCAAGAGGAAGAGAATGACATGATGCTGCTTGTTGTCGATCATACAATACTGATCGATGATGACACATGTGGACTTCCTTTAGAACTAAATCCAGGTAATTCAAAACCAAAAATACCTCAGTTTGTATTAAGCAATTCTGGGTAAGTAAAAAAAGGCTTTTTCATATGTATTTCTATTGATTCATGATGGCTCAGTCTAACGGATCCCAGAGACAAATTGGCTATACAAGAGATGATGAAACATAATCAGGATCGACGTCATACGCATATAGAAATAATACATCAACCTTCAGTTCAATATGATTCAATGGATATGGATTTGGATTAATATTGTAAGTGAAATCTTTATAAATAAATGTAAAAACAAAAAAACAATATCTTTATTTATAATAATGGTCCCTTGTCAAGCTTTATTAAACGATTGTCAAACTAATAAATTGATTAGGTTGATGTCAAGTATGAGATTATCAAACTTACTGCCACTACAATTTGATCCGCAGAACAACTCGCACTCGTTATGATGGGTGCATCCAATCGTTGCATTCTATAACTGCTAAGATTTCCTTTGCAAATTTGTTTAAAGTTCCACACAACAACAAATGAGCCGGTTGTCTATTAAGAAAGATTGTTTTAGTATGTGATAAAAAGAGTACAATAACCACTTACACAGATGATGTTGTTTTCGTCTTTAGTATCAAAATAGGCTCGCTTGAAAGAAACCTTTTCATTCATCAAGGTGATATGTTCAGGCAGAATTCGTAACATAACAGCTTGAGGGTTGCCAGATGTACGGAAGAATACCAAAGAGTTTGAACACGTCGCGACCACGTAGTGACCATCAGGCGTGACATCCAAGCCTATAATGGGTTCACCAATAGGAGGTAAGGTAATTGTGGCAACTGTGTTTAGCCCATCGAAAAGCCTGATCACTCCCTTTTGGCTGCCAACAGCAACATACTTGGATTGAGAGGACGCGACTGCAGAGAATTCAGGCTTACTAGAGTATTTCTTGTAATCACAATCAGAGATCTTATTGATGCCCTTCTGACGAGGGTCAATACGGAATATAGAGTTTGAGGTGATGCCAACGATCGTGTTTAGGTTGTTATAGTTCCCTGATGATGAGCTTGGGCAGATACCGATTACTATACAAGAAATAGGATGAGTTGCCAATAAAATCAAGACGTCTCTTAACTTACATGGATCTTCAGTAGAAGCTTTCCATTCTTCAACAACCTGTTCACGTTTGAGGTCCATTTTGTAAACAGTGTTGCTCTTTGCATTCACATCAAACATCAAGTAACTCGAATCCTGATCAAAGAGCATAGCATGTGTTGGAAGAATGGGGGATTTGTGATCCAAGTCATGAACATCCTGAATAAGTCGCGAAAGTGAAATCTTTTGACCAAATCCTTGAGAATAGATACCAATGTTGTTTCCTCTAGTAACAAGCAAAAGGCTTGATGATTGACTAACCGAAATAATGCTGTCTTTGCCTAAAGAGCTTTGATCAAACAAGACCTTGTCATGAGGGCTTTCGGGTACTTCGATTTTATTGTCGTACGCCAGACAGACGCCAGAGTCACTTTTCTTGACATGGACTAATTTATACAATAGTGAGCCAATGGATGCACTGTTGTTATTTTAGTTACCTTGTTCATCCATGTCTTTTGGTTTCGAACTTGAGAGAGGAATATTATTAGGTGCGATCGCATTGACGATAAACTCTTGATGATTTTTCTATTATATATTCCATATTAGATATTATTAGACTACACAAACCCTAGAGTATACCTTGTGCCGAGAAAACGAGTATTGTGATGCTGATTCAAAGATTGCCTTTGATAAAAGAACCTTGAGTCCACTGTACATTTCTTGATCATAAGGTACAATCTTGAAAGAGTAAATACGCAAGTCTTCTGAGTAATTCCAGCTAAATGATTTTTCATTGTGTTTAAAGACTGGGTTCATACTACAGTTTACTTCTTGATAGATTGATGGAACGTATGATCCATGAATCTCAAGGCAGTCTAGAAGAAGAAATATTTAGTAAAACAAGTAGAATATAAGTAATCTTGTTACATCTAAAAGGACCACGTTCAGTCACTTTAACAAGAACCTTGCCAATGGTAATATAGTTTCGAAAGTCGGGTCGATAGAGTGAAAAGCTTGCTTCAATCACAAACAAAGATGTGCCATGAACAGGATTATTGCCTTTAAAGGGGACATACTGAACAAATGTAGATGAGGAGTTTGTATCTTCTGGAATGAATATGCTATGACTTTCGGGTCTTTTCTTTAATATTTCGGAACATATCTTTTTCTCCAAGTGACTAGGAACATTTCATTAATAGATTCGGATTATTATCAAACTATAGAGTACTCACGGAGAATAAATGGCGCTAATTTTTTGATCAGTGATGAATTCTCGGCCTGATTTGTATTCATCCTCATAGATACATTCGTAAGCGACTGCCATAAAGACCTCTGTATATTCCTCAGAAACGGCATGGTTGCATACAAATTCAAAGGATTCCCCACACTCCTAATTCTAAATGTTGAGAAAGTTGTGTCTAAATCTTTCATGATCTTTACCTTGATTGTCCATGTAAAACATATGTCTTGATTCATATTGATTCGATAAAGTTGAAGCTCCATTGTTTTTTGAACCTTGAAAATCTGCTGGTTTTCATCTATCGTTTACAGTTAAAAAAAGGAAGATATATGAGCAGACGGAGTATTATTCTTACATGGACAACCAGGTTCGGAAGTACCAGAAACAACAAGTTCGTAAGTATAAGGTAACTCCTTTCGTCTAATAGAAAGAACTGCATCCTTATATCTATCATCAAAAGAATTACAACACCATATGATTAAGTGTATTTTAATCTTACAGCAATTGTTTTACAGTACGATGTCCATCATTGTAATAGAATGAAAAATATCCGTACTTGAGATCGATAATCTCTTTCTTTGTTCTTTCGCTAAAAAAGGGTAAAGCTAATGTCCGGTCGAGTATATCAAACATTTTAAAAAATGAAGAAAAAGAAAAAGGGGCTTCCCAAGGAAGAGATATCTTTTTATGATAACCAGCCGATGTTATTACTGCATTAAAAAGACTGCTAGTTTATTTTAAAAATATCATTGTAAGGAATTATGCTATGATGCAAGTATTTGATTGACAGTTTGCTTATTTTCCAGAGAAGAATAGTGTTGAGCAGCAACGTACTCATACATGCAGCTCATAGGATCAGTGAAATCTATCAAATTATTACAATGAGTTGCTCTAGAATATATATCCCTATATATATGCTTACCAAGTGTGTGTTTGGGATCGCATGAACATCGGCGTAAAAGGTTTTCTTGTTCTGGACAATGTTCGTATATGCTGTGTTTATATCCAATGTCGTTAAAGAAATGAATCTCGTCCTTTTTAAGGTAAAGAGCAGCAAAGATAGAATGAATAGGTGCATCACCCCATCTTTCGTAAAAGAATCCTCCGACCTTATCAAGATACTCAAATAACGCCTGATAAGCTTCTGTATGCCATAGATCAAGTCGTGCAATTTCAAAGTTTGTCCAAAAATGACACAGATTGTATTCACTTCCTTCTTCATCCGTTACAAAACGATAGAGACTGTTGGTAGCATAATTAGGAAAATAATTCTTGCCTTGCCTTGTCGAATCTCTAACAAAACTTCTAATGGTTTCCCAAAGAGAAGCTATGGTCCCCGAATGTTCCTTGAAAGAAATATTAAAGGCTATATATCATCGCTTTAGCTATCTATTGTATTTATTTTCTAGTATTACGAGTCTTACCATATTTCTTATTATGCTTCTTCATATAAAGGAAAGGGTCATAGTCTAGATCACAATAGTATCGCACATCAGGCTCAACTCTCCAATAATATTCTAAATCAAGACTCAGCACAAGCGGATGCCTCCAAAAGAACCCACTGTCCAAGCGTACGCTTTAATCTTTCAAACAAAGCAAAGGTATATATATGATTTACCTTTGGAATCGACACATATGCCTGTAGCTTTCACTTGTTCCGTAGGGTACATAGGATAGTTCTTCTCGACACATTGCGGCCTTCTTTTGATCGATCCAATCGGGATAACTCCACATTGACTCGTTCACGAATCCGTAATGGGTTTTGCTTGACGCTACTTTTGTAGTAGATTTTATAAACTCTTCTGTAAACTGTTCCTCGTTTAAGAATATCCACGGATAATTGAATTTATGATTAAATCTGTCCTCTACATAGAAAGTATGAGTTGCATTCTCTCTTTTGGTTATTCCTTTGGTTATTATTACCAACATCTTTCATCGAATCCAGCATGCCCTGAAGTTCAGAGTTACGTACGAGTACAATGAATGCCGCCTTTTGACGCTCGGTTGTATTAGATGCAGGTGGCAAAGTAACCGTTATTCCGTTTGATACATAGGGTGGGCCCACCGTATAGGACTCGGTTGATGCAGTAGTCTTTAACTCCCAGTAGGTGGCATTGGCAATAGAAGTGATAGCATTCTTATAGACTGATGTTTTACGGCCAAAGTAATAAAATAAGGAGCCCAAGAGGTAAGAAGCTAGTCCAACTTGTAACAAAAAGTAAGAATAACGACGAAGGAGCATGTTAAGAAAGGAAAGAAACAAAGTGTTTGAATAATAAATAAAGCATCCAATGTGTTGCAGGGAATTTGCAGCAAATAAACAATAAATTTAATATTAACCTCTTTCAGAAACTCGCATTCCCTACTCTAATTCAATCCCCCTTTCCCTTTATTTAAAAAAAAGAAAAAAGAAAAAAGATGTCCTTCCTTTCTTGCTTTCTAAACATCTTTTTTTCAATGATTTATCTACAAGAAAGCCCACATCCGCTAAACAAAACTAAATATGGATACAATCGCCGTCAGTTGTCCAAAACCATTTTTCGTGCCACAGTCATTGTTTTGATGTTTGTGATTTGTTTCTTTATTGGTCATAAAGTACAATGGAACTCCTTGTCCGAGCAATTTGATCCCAGGGACGCTGCCTTTATTCAATACTTTTGCACCCAGCAAGAAGCGACACATGCTGTCGAGAACCAAAAGGCACAATTCATCGTTGGTTTGGAGCATCAAAGAGCAGGTTATCTTAAACCAGAAGTTGAGCCGGATGATACAATTCCTGAAGATGTATGGAAGGACTTGCCTGTCAGAGGAGCCTACTACATGGTGGTTCGAAATGAAAAGCTGAACGAAGCAAAGGCGGTTATAAAGTCAATGGAAGAGCAAATGAAAAATGGCACACGTTATCCATGGGTCATTTTAAACAATCAGCATTTTACCTTGGATTTTCAAAAGTATATCAAACGTGTCACTAAGGCACCCGTATTCTTTGGAAAGATTGACCTTCACGCGTGGGAATATCCTTACTGGATTGATATACCAAGAGCAGAGGATATGATGTTGGACCAGGATTTTGATGAAGTGTACAACAAGGCTAAGCTGTCATATCATCAGCTATTACGTTATCATGCTGGGTTCTTTTTCCACCATCCTTTACTTAGAGACGTCGAGTACACATGGCGCGTTGAACCAGGAGCTGATTATAGTTGCAAAATGGATCAAGATCTGTTTTTAGTCATGAAGGAACAGGACAAGAAATTAGGCAAGTTGAATGATGATGTTGAAAGACGAGTTATTTGCTAAAAAAAATGCTAGGGTTTGTTATTACCATGAAAGAAGCACCACAGACTATTCCAACGTTATGGACAAGAGTGAATGAATTTAGGGAAATCTATCCTCAGCATGTTTTAGACTTGAATTCTACTATTTATCCATGGATCTACAGTGACCGCGAAGATGATTACAACTATTGTCACTTTTGGACTAATTTCCAGTTGGCAGATTTATCGTTTTTTAGATCAGAAGCCTACCAAAAGTATTTTGAATATTTAGATAGAACTGGTAATTTTTTCTATGAGAGGTAAAAATTGCACACACATACGCACGCACACATTATAATAACCTATTTAGATGGGGCGACGCGCCTGTACAAACGATTGCCGCGGCCTTGTTTTTACGAAAGGAAGAAATTCATTTCTTTAATGAAATCGGATATACTCACTCAATAGCAACCCATTGTCCATACGATGAACAATTGTTAAGAAGCTGTAGTTGTGATGTTACTTCTAATTATGGTAATATGCACCCTTTTTATTACAATTTTAATTTATGTATAAACAATATGTGTATATATAGATCTGTATCAAGACAGCTGCTTAAAGAAGTTACTGAAAATCATCAATCCTCAATTACTCGACGATATGAAGGCATTCCTTACTAAGAAAGACATTTCTATACCTGAGATGATAAAAATACCACCTCAATAATAAACTTTCTCCTTATTTTAAGCATTGTTCTCTTTTTCACCAAGAAGCATTTGTTTATTTATTAAATTCAAGCATTTGTTTTTGGTATACATTGATTTACATTCCTTACTCACTTAACATCAAGGGAGCTGAAAAAGAAAGAAAGAGAAAGAGAGAAAGAGAGAGAGAGGGAAAAGATAGCTAAAAGGAGTTCTTTTGTTTTTTTTTTCTTCTTCCTTCTTCTTTTCTAAAGCATATTCCCTTCTTTTACTCATGTATAAAAGGCAATTGTGTTCAACAAGAAATGCTCTTCGGTTTATCTTTATAGGATTGGCCTTGTTTGGTGTCATTCTTCTTTATAAATCAAAATTTGCTTACAATGCCTATTATTGCAACTCATCCAAAGACTGCTATGAATTACTAAAAGATAAAGCAAAACAGTTTCAGCAATATTCTGGTATCAACGAATACTTTATAAAGGATCAAGAAGAGGAACAGAAGAAATGGAATAAAATATCAGAAACATCTATGGCTATAGACACGGTTGATAACAAAGTGATTATTGCTGATGACGATGACGACGATGATATGTCCCCTGAAGAATTAGAATACCAAAGGTTGACAAATACCAGCTTGCCTCGAGTTAAGGGCGCCTTCGTCGTACTGGCTAGAAATAGCGAGCTTTATGCTTTGAGATCATCTATGCGCTATCTGGAGGACCGCTTCAACCGTAAATACAATTACCCTTGGATATTCTTGAACGAACAGCCATTCACAGAAGAATTCAAAGAGCTGACGAGCATGATGACAAATGCACAAGTCTACTATGGCTTGGTCCCTGAAGAGCATTGGAGTTACCCAGAATGGATAGATAAAGAGCACGCAGCAGAGTGTCGAAAGGATCTGGAAAATCGTGGTATTCTTTATGGTGGAAGCGAAAGCTACAGACACATGTGCAGGTATCAATCAGGGTTTTTTATGCTGCATCCTTTGCTTGATGATATTGATTATTACTGGTAAGTACATCATCTTCACCTTATATGGCTTATTCTCACCCTCTCTTTTTAAATTTACCAAGGCGTGTAGAACCTGGTGTGAAATTTTCTTGTGACATCGATTATGATCCATTTAGACTTATGCAAGAAAGAGATCTCAAATATGGATTCACCATTGCGTTAAAAGAATATTTTGAGACCATTCCTACACTATGGGAAGTGACTAGAGACTTTGTTCAAAACCATCCTCAATATATCTATCCAAGAACAAGAAAAGACAGTCTTTTAGGAATAATTAGTGATGACAATGGCTGGTCGTACAATCTGTGTCATTTCTGGAGTAACTTTGAGGTATAATATATAAAATGATACTGGTAGCTTCGACTTAAAAATTTGTCTCTAGATTGCTTCAGTCAAGTTTATGCGTTCAGAAGGATATCAAGCATACTTTAGATACTTGGATGAAGCTGGTGGATTCTTTTATGAAAGGTTAGACATATTACGTTTTGCATATATGATTGGCTAACTATTTTTTGTTAGATGGGGAGATGCGCCTGTTCATTCCATTGCTGTGGCGTTGATGCTGAAAAGATCTGATGTTCATTGGTTTTATGACATTGGCTACAAGCACGATTTTTTTGAACATTGTCCTACAGAAGATAAATGGTTACTTCAAAGTAAATGCTACTGTGATCCCGAAACGACCTTTGGTAAGAATCATTTATATATTCCAGCTATTCTCATACTAAGTCCTCTATTAGATATAAATCCTGGTGCCTGTACGCCTCGTTTTTTGGAGGTAATGAATAAAACAGCTACAAGTTTCATTGTTACCCGTCCAGATAAGGATGATCATTAGATATATGCCAAGCAATTCATTTACTAATACTATTTTTGACTTATATCATGTAATAAACATCTATTAAAATGGAAACATGTTGTAACTATTAAAATGAGGTTGTATTTATTACTACAATAACAAAACATGCTATACAAGAGAAACACAAGTTTTTAATGACCAGGCTTTCCTGGATGAGTCTCGATGAATGTGCCAGAAGGGGTTTGTTGGTTATGTCCCAGATCTACTGAGAGACGATATGTTTGCTGTTGTTGTTGTGGTTGCGGTGATGTAAGAGGTTGTTCTAGATGGTAGTTGCCGACAGTAGGGCTGTTGTGTGATGGCTGAGCTTGTTGATATGACATGTTTGGACTATGATATTGTTCTTGATACTGATAGTTGGGATCATGGTACATTTGTTGATTTGGATCGTGATAGGCTTGTTGATGAGGATCATGGTACATTTGCTGATGAGGATCGGGATAGGCCTGCTGGTTGGGATCATAGTAACCTTGTTGATGTGGATCGACGTACATTTGTGCGTTGGGATCATGGTACATCTGTGTGTTGGGATCTTGATACACTTGTTGGTCGTTGTCATGATACAAATGTTGATCAGGACCATGATAAACTTTATCTTGCTGTTGATTAGGGTCATGTTGATAGGCATCATGTTCGTTTGGCTTGGATTCGTAGTACATCTCTTCTTGCTGAGTAACAGGATATGTAGCAGCAGTAGCAGCACCAGCAACAACAGCAGCACCGGGAGCAAAGTTAGTAGGTTGGCCATGAGCATAGGCTGCATCATGAGCATATCCAGCATCTTGATAGTGCTCATGAGGTACAGCATTATAATATTGGTTTCCAGGCTCTTGATAGGCACCAGCGTAGGTCACAGTAGGTGAAGCAGCAGCAGCGTAATCGTGAAGATTACCTACTGTAAAGCCTTGTTCAGATGGATGAGCGGCGCCTCCTTGATATGTATCATAATTCTTTGTTCCGTCGCCTGTTGTGCCATTAGGCGTGAAAATCTCGTCCATAGTCCTGCTTGCCCGCGTACTTTTAGCCTTGTGTCTGCTACGACGAATCATCAATAAAGCAAAGGCACCAATGGCCGCGACACCAGCAATGGCACCAACAATGCCGCCAATGAGTGCGGTGTTGTTGGGGTTGTCTCCGGCAGGTGCAACAGAAGATGTTGCACTGGGTAGAATGCTTTGAGTGGATGAGATGCTTGGTATGGCGGTGTTTGACATCATGGAAGTTATTGCTTCTGTTATGGCCGTAGTCGTGGACGAGGTAGAAAGCTTGGGCACAATGACGGATGAAGCAGCATTGACAGATGGCGTGTTGGCAATAGATGGTGCTACTGGAGCTGCAGTAGTAGTAGCAGCAGCCTTGGTGGTAGTAGGATCAGGCTTCTGCTGAGTGGTTGTAGTTGGCTTTGGTTGAGCAGCAGTCGTCGTCGTCGGTTCTGGTTTCGGCTGTGTGGTCGTAGGTGCTGGCTTTGGTTGGGTCGTCGGTTCTGGAGCAGCACTTGTCTTGGGACTAGTCGTATTGGGAGGATCGGCGTTTGCGAAAGGATCAGATGCGTCTTTACTGCTCGAAGGGTTATCAACAGCTGCACCATTTACGCCAGTATCTTTGGCACCTGTGTCCTTAACATCAGCGCTTTTTGTTTGACTGCCTTGAGTGTCTTTATTAGCAAATCCGTCCGTATTGTCCTTTGTAGGCTCAACCATAATGAGATGAGGGAAAAGAAGAGAAAAAGAAATAAAAATTATGTGCTACATTAAAAAAACAAGGGAAGGACAAGTCGACCTGGGATCTCCTTATAAAAAAGGTTATGTACGCCATCAGTGAAAGAATCTTACTATTAAGGGAAAAAGTGTAACAAATACTGAGTTTTATTTAAGTTACACAAATAACATGTTGTCGTGAGTCCTGATTCAAGTTCAGCTTTAGGTGACGTGTCTCCTCTTTGAAAGTTAAGACCCTCACCCATATTTTCATTCAATAACCCGCGAACATTTATGCTATCTTCTTTTTCTTCTGTGGACCAAAACCCTGCTGTTTGGACTGAAGCTGAACTTATTCCCAACCTGAGTCGGAAGCGTCGACGTAGATGGTTAGATCCGGTGTTAATGGTTTGTGTCGGATTGGAAGACCATTTTTCAATGGGACCTCTTTTAACCACCACTCCAACTCCTGCAAACTTTTCTGGCTTATCGGGCATGGTGTATTCCAATTGTTGTTGCGTAACCTGAGGACTCCTGCTAGGCCTCTCTGTAGAAAGCTCACATGAAGGAGTGCTTCTCCAATCGCCGGTATCATAGCAGTTATTTTCACAATAAGGCTCGCTGTCTATCAACATGATTTCTGTTCCTTGCGGTTCAGCAGTTGTCGAATCCTGATATTTAATTTCTAAATTTTTATCTGTGAAACTTGTATCTGTCGTAGAACAAGGTCTGCTTATGACTGACATTGAGATAAACGATTGTAATCAGTATGAATAGAGTGAATTCATACATTATAAGATTACGTGTACACACTTTTAGTAATAAGTTAAATTAAATAGAATCTCTCCCTTGAATATAAATCATTACTTCTTTATATAAAAGGATACACTTCTTTAAACGATAATCCTTCTTATAGTAAAAGCAGTATCATAACCCAGATCATGAAATGAACAATAAGATCAGTGTCAGGAACGAATTAAAAGTTTTCTTTATGAACTCAGGAACCGTTAGTCAATCACATCCTTAGTAATTATAATCCACGTTTAGAATAGTGGCTTACCAGCCATTTGATAGCAACTATAAATAGTAGACCATTAATTTATTTGTATGTTTCTTTTGTCATTATCTCAGAATAAAGATTAGTCTCAAAGAGTACTTCTTTTGTCTTTGTCTTGTGTCTGTAAATCATTACATAACACCTTGTTCATAGGATAAGGAAGAAGAGGATTGTATTTTTTGTGATGAGGATTCTGCTTCTGTTGCGGCCGTTGTTGCGTCTGAAATATCGGTATCAGTCTTATCAGTGTCTAAGTACTTTCTTTTCAAATTGCAGTTTCTTGTCTGAGCGTTCTTTATGGTTTGAATCAACAACGAAGCTGACACTTTATTATTTATCAGCTCTAGAAGTTTTTCATATTCGTTATTTTACGTATCGCACATTTGACCTATGACTTCGACTAAATGTGGTTGGTTACCAGTAATGCTTTCATAATGTTCGTTGGCCAAGTTGTACAATAACTTCATTGTAGGATCATCATTACAAGGAGCGTTTATAATTGAGCGGGCTTGTTGAGTCAGGAACAGCCCAAATGCAACAAATGGCTCTAAAGTTACATCAATGCTACAGTTGCTGAGACTTGCCTGGCACAAAATAAAACACTGTGAAGTCCAAACTCTTGGAGAGTAAATTAAACAACCTGAAACACGGCTTTGTTGTTTCATCATAAACACCATCAGACAAAGTTTCAATGCATACTATTAGTAAAATGGGTTCTTTGCAGTATCTTTCGTATGCTTCAAGACAGTAGCTGACTACCCTTTTAAGAAATAAGTCATCTACTCTATGCTGAAATTCAATAATTATTGATGAAATATTTTGGCTTTGTGGTTCTAAAGCCAAGTCTGCTCGCGTTCCATCGTTCCACTCGCTTTCTGCCGCATTGTACTCAGCTTGTGAGTTGTTCAAGGCTTTTGTAATGATGTTTATAACTTTAGGATTACGCGCTACAATCTTTGACATTAAGTCAGTTCCTGGTTGTAGTGAGGCTGGTAGAATGGAGAGAGGCATCTGTAAAAAGGTGTACACTACGCGCACGAGGAAATTCACGAGAGGGTTAATGTTATAGACATTAACTATGATGTCGTCAACAAACCTTTTCAATGTGTAGCATCACGGTAAGCTTGATCAGGAAAAAGCATCTTTCCATGCTCCATGATATAGGATAAGAAGTTATCTTTTAAGAAAAAAGAGATAAAGTGTTGTTATTTCTTTATTTACTTTTATTTTATGTTGTCAGTTGATCAACAAAGAATCAAGATTAATCATGTGCAATTATGATAAATTCGCATTTTATATCAAAGGATATCCTACAGGGCAGCCTTAGGTTAGGCAGACGCTTTGATAGTGTGAATTTGTACAGTGACGCCACATGTATAGGACAATAAGCGCCCGCATCATTAGCCTTCTCGTGGATTTCTTCGTGCGCGTAGTGTACACCGCAAGAAGGGCCCTTTACATTTGCAATTGAAGCTGACCGAGCCATCAACGGGAATTCAGCAAATCAAATGGGAAAAAACATCATTTCATTCAGCACACTCAATTGCATGCCAACCGTGAGAATCAGCTTTAGATTAAGCGACAAAAATGACAATATTCTTGCAGTTTGTAGCTTGATAAGCAATGCTTTGGCACAAAAAGTAGCAAAACTGTTGGATTTTGAAAAGGGGTCAAATAAAAGTCTGGAACATCCTGTAACTGTCAGATTTGCTGTCATGCAACCAGTGGATCTGAGTCTATCAAGTCAAGCCGATAAATACACGTATATAACAAAGCGACAAAACAAATCAATATATTATTGAAGATTGGTAGTTTAAGCGAGTCCGGAAAGTAGGAAAAAAAAACAGCTTTCAGTGTAGACTCTCGCTTTATTAAAGGCATAAGCTCTCGATTTATTTAACCTTCTTTACACATTTTATCTTTAAAAGTGATGCATAAAATACCTTTATCAAAAAGAGATACTGGGGCCATCTACATAGTATCTTACTACACTTTTATGAATACGATTAAAGAATAATTTTATTTGATAATAATTTTTAATGACCGATGAGCACATAGCATCCTTATGCTGTATTGCCCGGGTCAGATCGCAGTGAGAAGGAATGAAAAACCCTTTTGGGATTAAAGGGAAAATGTGAAAGTATTACGTATTAGGGATGATAATTAACTATCTGAAAATTTTTGCTGAATGTAACGAAGACGTTTGGCAAAGGGTTCACCAAGGTAGTTTGAAGCTTCAGGGAACTAAGAATGAGCTAATTAGTCCATTTCGAGTAATATTGCACATATGGAAGGCCAACGAATGAGCCAGGCATCGATTGATTTTCTCGCTTTCTTGGTAAGGAATGTTGCACTTTTATGAATACAGGATTTTACTCTAAAATTAGACGATGTCAGTACTTTTTTTAGACGAATCAAAATTATTTTGACACTTTACTTGTTTTAAACGAAATGAAAATAAAATTGAGACAAAAAAATATATTAGTTTAGATATGCTATGATGACCAAAATGATGTACTTTACCTGTAAGAATCTTTAAGTCCTTGCCGAAGCGAGAAACAACCACATTCTATGTGGCGCGTTGTCCTGTTGGACGAGAGAAGATATCGGATCGTTCATTACCGGGCCAAAGTTGGGTTGAAATGAACATCATATTTTTAGCCGCAAGCACGTCTCGATTCCAGAATATATTACAATCGTTGCAGATCAATATATTGTAAAAGGCACGTTCTTGGGCTGTATGGTGTCTTAAATTTCTTTGATGGCATTCAAAGCAAACCTAATTAAAAAGAAATAATTAAGGCTCTTAAAAATACACAAAATTTGCAAAGATACCTACGGATGATGCCCTGAACTCATTAATGTCCAGTACTAATAGTTCCCCTTGTTTTTCACGCTTTTTGAGATCCTTGTAAATCATCTCGGAAGTTTCTACTATTCTTCCTCTAAACCTCACATGGGTACTTCCTTTCAGACCATCCTCGAATATGATCAAAGGCACCTTCGTTGTCATCCTCATTAAAATGACTTTTGTGAGCTTCTCTCCTATATAATTTGTGAGAAAGGGCGATTGTGTAAATACAGACTTTGTGAAAATATATATATATATATATTATATTACCTTATTTCAATAGGGCTGTCAGCATTATCACCTTGCCTCCTCCTATTCATCATTTTATTTCTTCTTCTTCTGTTTGAGCGCGTTTTTTTACGTCTAGCTCTATTGTATTTTTTCCCTCCATTTAAAGGAATATTGCATGCTTCTTCGAGAGCACATTGCCATCCTCGATAGTTGTTCTAATTTATCTGTGCAGTACGGAAATTGTAAAAACCGAAAAAAAAAGAGATAAATGAAGCATTGTATACTGCAGGTAATCAATGTATTGATTGATGTTGGAAGCCTTTGGCGTTGGTATGTTAGTTTCTAAAGCTTGTATGCCTTGTTGGGCTTTTAGGTCGATTTCTTTTCTAGATCTGTTAGGAGAATCAGATCCACTATAATATTCAGTCGTCGATAAGGTCCGCACTTCATTATTACTATAGTACGCAGCGAAAGCATTCCAGCGACCAGGACCTAAAGTACAGGGGCGAAAATATTGATTTATTTTTTCTTGGCTGAAGTCACTAACATTCAGAGTAATAGTTTCACGACCTTCTCGTCTGGGATTGTTTCTGGCAAACGAAGCTCTACAAATGACTCCGTTAGTGTAAATACTAGTTAAAAACATCCGTCCTTTGGTTGGTGGAGGATTCAGTAATTGCTCGAAGCTGTTTTCAGTATTTAAAATAATGGTGGTTTTAATTATTGTCATTGTTTATTATCCTCTACCATAGATTGGGATTACCTATTGATATCTAGTCTTTCAAAATTAAATGCTTCAAAAAAGCATCGGGCAGCATAATGATAATTCAATTCATTATCCTGTCGGGGTAGCCAAGTGTCACGAAAAACCGTGTTTAAATTTTCTCCATCTAGCTTGAATCAGGAAAAAGAGAAAATAAACGAGGTTGAGGTCTTCTTTGCTGTTGCTGTTCAGGCTGCTGTCGTTATGCTTGCACACTTTTCTGCTCGTAAAGATCAAGTATAAATGCCATTACATTTAAAACTGTAAATGGATTTGCTGTGATAGTTTCTTTATTAAGAGATAGTTGCAGTAGTCTGTTCTTTATAGGCTGTATAATCCTGTCTATATAAACCTGTAAATTCGGAGCAAGATTTAGGGTGTCCTGATCAACAAAATCTTCTGGCATATCCGACCTCGCAATGTTTGTTAAAACTTCATCGAATATATAGTTGTATACTAGCTTTTTTACTACCGACATGCTTAGGTTCTAATTGTATATATATTTCATTAACATGTAATCGTAAGTATACGTAACATATCTAACTTAAATTACTTACACCATATTCAACTTTTAGTTTATATATGAAATAATTTCCAATATACTGTTCAAAATTTTCAGCATAAAAGTTATTATATGTAGTTGCTACAGTCTCACATGCGGACGATATGATTTGTCCATAGCCCACAAGATTGTTTCTTTCAACCAGCATATTTACATTTTCCAGGCTCTGCAGTAGATTAAAGACTGCTTCAATGTCCGGTAATCTTGGATACATGCGTTGAAGCGCGCCTATTGCTATGTTTTGATATCAGTCGGCAGACTCTGTACCAAAAATTTTGATCAAATATATCATTAGAGAGGTTATCAATGTTACTCGAATTGATCAATACGTAATAGTTTGCAAATATCCGCGCTCTATACACCACCTGTCTTAAAAAAGACAGTTCAATTATTCTTCTTTGATATCGCTCTAGCTTATCATTCTCTTCTTGCTCATCGATTATTAAAAAAGACCTGAGAGTTAAAGATATCGTAAATCTTTGATAAGTTCAGGAAAAGCCATGCTCAACCGTTCTTTGAGCGTAAACTGATGGTTTGGACACATACTAGAAGCAGCATATGAATGACCGTGCTGCCTGCAAGATTTGCAAATTGGATCAGAGGTCGAGGATGAAGCTTGTTCCTGTCTTCTTCTTTTTCTAGCATCACTCTTCACTCTTTTTTCTTCAGTGGTGTCTTTTCTTTTCTTGCCTAATACATTTTTATAAGGTTGTGTAAGTCGTTAATAACATACATTAAGTAAAAATGTAAGTCTTTCAAGGTTAATGCATTACCTCTTCTTCCTCCAGCAGGTGAACCTCCGAGGCGTGCCTCTTCCTCAGTTTGTTCATCAAATTTTTCTTATTTTTTATTACGAATGAGCCCTTCGGTATCAGGGTATAGGATAGGGCGCATTCTTGAGCAAAAGAGATACCAAAAAGAAGTTGTTGTTAATACTTTTTATCGTATGTACATTGTGATATATTATTTTTGTATACATTTATATTTTTACTTGCAAGATGAAATTTTACTGACCCTGATTTTTCTTTATGAGATCTCCTCCATCAAAAACTGTGTTTTTTAAATATGCCTTTCAGCAAGGAAAATCGAGCTTAATATAGATTTGCAGGCTCTTTAAACAAGGTGGAGTTTGGCTTATACACTTTTTCACTAGGAAAATCTTGCACAAGATGCCAAAAAGTCTGGATTTTTATTTTCATTTCGTCTAGAAATGAGACGGGCTGCTTTTTTTTTAAGACTTAGCCATTTTACCGTTATCTCGAATTTCTAGCTAATTTTTACAGATCATTTATATTTATTTGCTATTCACTCGATATCCATCTTGTAAAATTGCGATTCATCATATAAAAGTTGACGTCGCCAGTGTAGAGTTATACATAGTTAAATAATGAAGTTGTAAATTAATGCAAACAATGATGTCTGAAAAAGAACTAAGTTTGTCTCAAAAATAAAAGCAAATTGCCCAACTTTGTTATTGCAAACGTCTTAAAAAAAAAAACGCGAATCGTCTAATTTTATATTTCAAAGTATCTCAAATTGGATTTCCAATCATCTCATTTTAGAGTAATATGCTGCCAATGTGACCTTAGCATTAATCACGTGAACTGGGAAACCCAAAAGGCGACCTTTTCTATTTTTCGCCTTTTTCACCTCTTTTTTTATTAATTAATAAAGCCATGAAAGAGCCATTCAATTTAGGCTCACACTTATCTGCTCGTGATATCATCGCAAAGACTGTTGCGCCTGTAGTAGCTGTAACTGCTAGTGAAGATGCTGAAGAGCTTTGTAGACTGAACCACATCCCTTCCTTCACTGATCTTATCAAGCCTTTTGGTGATACACTTGAAAAAGGTAGAAATACATAAAACATAAAAGAATATAAGCTAATAACCCATAGTTACCCCACGCGATTGGCAAGGCGTGCCAATGTCAATTGATAACTTTAATGTACGTTTTAAATCAATAAATAAATTAGAAGAACCTAATCACCAAGCAGTAATGAGGCTTGTTCAAAACCAAGTGAAGTCTAGAGGAGAGCAATACACTGGAAACATAAAAAAGATCAGAAATAGAAATGATGTTGCCGAGGACTATTTAAACGGTATTTTTATAGCATGATCTATATATATGATTACTGATATGCTTTTTAGTCCACTTGAATGATTTGACACCTTGGTATACCGATTTCAGAGATACGCTCCTTTCTCTTCGAGGAATAACAGAGTATGAGACCTTTGATCATCCAGTAGCCACCATGATTGTTATCTCATCATTAAACACTGACCCAATCAGCACTATTATGCAACTCTATAATCCAAACATTCCGTCATTCACTCTAGACAAGCCCTATGTTGATACAAACATATTAAGATACTATGTCGTGCTTCATGATCCGAACCTTACAACATTCGAGCAGTAAAGTATATCCTTATATGTTATTAAATCAATATTAAGCATACAATTATTAGTTCCATGGCTTTCTTTGATAAGCTCAAACGAACGGTTGGGCTACACTGCTATTTACTCACTATCAATTCAAAGCCAAGAAATCCAAAAGATGAGGACAGTATAGAAGATAGATCTGAGGACAGTATACGACACATTTGGGAGGAACCATTATCCGAATCTTATCGCATCGAATCAGAATTACAATCATATGTTACATCCAATCCAGACTCTAGTGTATCTTCCTTAAATACCCCTCTTTCACCTTCTGTCGGAGGAGGACATACTCGATCAAGTTCGGTATCTTCAAGCACGAGTAATTTGCCTGCAACTGTAGTTCATGGGACATCAATACAGTCATTTCCCATTGATTCTGATAATAATAGCAATCAAGATAGTATTACGCGCGAGACTATAGTTATCAACGAAGAACAACAGCAAGCTTCAATCCAATATGGAAGATGTCTGACAGACGAGAATGTGAATCAGATAAGGTCAATGGTCCAGGAATTTGTGGCCCAAAGTTTACTACCCTTTATGGAGCGAAACGTTCAACAGTGGAATGAGCAAGTGGCATCAGCTCGTCGTGGATTGACAGGTCGACTGTTTGGTGCTAGTCGCCGATTATTTGGTACTTCTAGTCGTTCGTCTTCTACTCAATCACTTCAGTCAGTTGCAGCACAGGGACCTAACGTGCCTTACGGGTCTAGCTCAATCACAGTCTATCCCTTTGCCGCTCCTGAAGCACAAATGCGTAAATTAGCAGATTTTGCATTCATGCTACGAGATTATAAATTTGCATACACAATATATGACACCGTTCGACGAGACTACGCCACTGAAAAAGCCTACAAGTATCATGCAGGCACACAGGAAATGATGGGTGTTTGTTTATTAATGATGGATCAACCACTGACGAGCAAGACTGACGTGGACCGTCACTTTGAACTTGCTGTACAACAATATTTGAACAGATGCAGATCCATCTTTCATGCAACGCGTGCAACGATCATTTACTATGAGCTACTTAAAGATCGGCAAATGTGGAAAGATATACCAACCGCTCTGGTCAGAATGACAGGTGAAGATTCGGATCTAAGGTCAGGCCTTTTCTTGGAACAGGCTGCACATTGTTTTCTGAGAGTAAACAAGCCAATGGTGCGAAAGTATGGATTCCATTTGGTTATGGCCGGTCATCGATACGGCAAGGCATCACAGGTAAAAAAACAAAAAATAGCATTTCACACGTCAATAACAGTTGATGAATATATAAAGAGATTGCACGCTTATCGATGCTATGAGCTGGCAGCAGCAGTCCTAGACAATCACTCTTGGTCTATAGCCAAGAATCATGTGCAATTTGCTCTGGGACGCCAAGCTTTCCATCTAGGTCGTCTTGAAGACTCAGTTGCTTATTTTTCGAATGTCTTGACAGACACCAAGCAAACATCTCAACAGCAGGTGGCCCACATTAGGGAGTTTTTATTCATCTACAAGGTTGGCTTTTTATAAACTATGTCAACAACTTGACTAACTTTATTATATAGCAATACGCAGCACAAGCCGGTTTCGATCCTTTAAAACGATCATTCCCTAATCTAGGCTTACCTATCATCGATGACCGTACAATTCAAGTGACTCTATCCAACACTCAATCCAATCTGACACATCGAGAAGAATGGGCGGCCATGGAAATTGAACTGTTGGAGGAAAGCATTGCGAATGGCTTCATTTCTAGCTCTAAAAGAGCTATGGCTGTTCAACAGCAAGATGATGATCGAATTGTTTGCGCTGTCGAAGGTAAAGAAAGAAAAGTAATATATATATATATACAAGAATGAGACTAATCACTTGTGAAATCGGGTAGAATCTGCGATTATACATGTTGAGTTGTACAACCCCCTTCAGATAGCTATTACTCTAAACAGTATTATACTTGGTTGTCAATATAAAGCTTCTTCCAAATCACAAGATTCTAAAACTGTTGAATATGAAGAAATGCTAGAAGGAAAGCAGGTTGAAGGAAGTGATCTATTTGAATTTGAGCATTTTAAGCTACAAAAGCTATCTAGTGTCACTTTGGACCCGTTGGAAAAAAAGACAGTAAGTGTTATTGTAGTTGATTATTTAAGAAGACTAATACATTATCCTGCCTTGTAGATCAGTCTGGCTGTAGTGCCTGGACATGAGGGTAGTTTATTGGTCACTGGCTTGCACTACACATTAAACGATTTAGTGCACACGTTTAAGCCGTTCCATAAGCAAGGTAAACGCTTAAATAAAACAAAAGAAGAGAGAATGTCTGTGGTCTATGCGCCCGACCGTTCATTGGATATCTTGGTAACTTCACCTATGCCTTTATTGGATCTTACACTCCATCATGTGCCAGAGACAATCTTGTCTGGCGAAGTGGTTCAAACGGTGCTAGAGATTAATAACAAGGGAAACAAGGGCTTGACTGCGCTTCGATTGAAGACAAGCCATCCTAGTTTTATCTGTGTGGGCAACCCTGAAGATATGGATAAAAACATATACACGGCAGATGAATCATCCACTTTAAGCAAGATGCAGTTGGATAACAGGTTGTTTGATGCCAGTGTGATTTCTATCCCACTTCCAGGCAAGAAGGATAGTTACCAGGGCGCAGTCAAGCCAGGTGAGACAACGCTTGTCCCTCTTTGGATACGAGGCGATAGAATTGGCAAACATACATTCAAACTGTTGTTCTCTTATCAATCAGACGAAGATAACGTAATGATTGCCCACCGTACGCTGCGGTACTCAGTCCAGATGCAGGTGCTTCCTTCTCTCAAGATCAATGCCTTCACAAGACCAAGCACTACGGCCATCAATGAATATATACTGGGTATTGAAATCGAAAATCTTCAGACAGTGACACAATTTGAATTGGTGCAGCTAAATGCTTCCAGCCCCATGTGGGATATTTCACCACTTAGCATTGATCTATCGAGTAGTCAAGATATTGAATCAAAAACAAACATTCCTCCTAGGCAAACCACATTTGCATACTACAAGATTCAAAGGATAGCTTCGTATGAGAGTGATATATCTAATATTCCTGAAGCATGGACTTCGAATGCACTTGGTGCCTTGCTCAACAGTCAAAAGAAAAATGATTCAAAGGAAAAGAATCTACCACCACCGATTGACCTTCATCTAAGCAAAGTTGCATTTGTAAGTAAAGCCATAATTGAAACTATGGAATTAATCATTATTATGCTGTAGAGGAAGAACGAAATTCCTGCGGATGCCCCACCTCTCAAGACGTTCTCACTTAATTCACGTATGCATTGGCGCTTAAGTAACCTGGAGAACCAGTTTCCAAACATACCTAAAGAAAAGTATAGTCAGCTATTCACTTTATACAACTCTGGAGATGTTGATTTAGCTATATACTGGAACATACCGAATATGAAACGACAAGGACATCATTATATCATTGGCGTCAATCTTGGTATACAGCAAAACCCTTTCCAGGGCAACAGCACTGAACTCATGAATCAACAAAATCGCACTATGTTTGAAGCAACGGCTAAAGAAAGGGCTATGCTTATCAACAGTCTTACGCGCAATAGAGTGATCAAGGATGAAAGTCCTGTCAAGGTGTTGGTGTCTGCGCCTGATAAAAAGGCACATAATTTTGATAATGAAGGGTAAGAAATACTTGAAAAGGCGTAAATTGTCACTAAGTCTTGTCTGTGTAGGTTATTAAAGGTCCCTGTATGTCTAACACTTATGAACTGCTCATGGAATCGAACAAGTCGTTACACTCTCGAATTATTGTCCTGGTCTAAAACAGACCAAAAGAATACCAATAGTGGTAAATCCTATTTAAGTATATACCCCTTCCATTGGAACGGCTCTACTGTCTTTACGGGATCATTGCAACCAGAAGAAAGAAAAGATATCCAGGTGTTTGCTGTGTTTCAGCTACCTGGTGTATACGATATCAATCGTTGGAGGTTAACCGTTCGAACAGATGATAAAGAGGGTTCAGAAGTGTTTGTTCATCAACCTACTTTACCTCAATTGATTGCTACTACTACTGCATCATAGATTATTAGTACACTTTATTCAGAAATTATTCGCACACTGATAAAAAAAAAAAAAAGATAATAAAAAAGAGCCCACAAGAAGCAAAAGAATGAATAACGAAATGATTAGCACTTCAGTTATTTACATTGATAATAAATACTTACATTATAAAGAAGAGGATTTGTAATAGAAAAAAGAGAAGCAAGAATAGTGAGTAAACTTATAAGAGAT